ACCCTCTCTGCTATGTCTTGAATGCATTGGTTGAACTCTTATGTTTATTCACGGGTTTCCAATTCCATGTAAATTTCATCAACTAATGGTAAAACGTTGACATGATGGCTCCGTGCAGAACCGCTTTTCATGTAGCTTTGAGTGTTTGCAGTCAATTTTATTTTTATTATTCGTAATGTTTAATAATATAGCATTTATAAGTAAGACAATTAATTGCTATTAAAATAGTTAATTTTGTCAAATAGATATAAAAAAACAACACTGTATAAGTTCTTGGTGAGCTGAATTTTATTATTTGATTAATTAAAAATATATTCAAATTTGAGTTTTAGCTTGTTTGCATTCAAATAAAATTATCCCTCTAATAGATTTAAAAGAGTTTTGAAAATCATTTAAGCATTCTGATTCCTTAAAAATAAAATAAAAAGTACGGTTAGAAATTGCATTCTAATTATTAATTTGAAAGTGAAGATCTTAAGACTATATTTTGTATGTTGTAATTAACTGTGTAATGGAATGAAAAATACATTATATGAATAATTATATTATTTGGTTAGACATTTGTTAAACTTTCCAATATAACTAAGATTACATGAGTAATTTTTATTACTTAAATTGATTGGATATTCATTACATCAAAAAATCTATATAAAGTTGATTACATCCCTCAAAGCCCATATTTACCACAACCACCATTCTGCTTCCGCCACCATTGCAATCACCACCACCACCACTGCAACTGCCACTTCATGACCACAATTTCACCGCAACCACCACTACCACCACTATTTCACCGCAACCACCACTTATTGCCACCTACCACTGTTATGACCACCACCCTACTACCATCATCACCGCAATTACTTCTGCAACCACCACCACCACCACTATATTATTATTAATTCTTTTTTTATATTGTTACATAAATAGGAGAATGAAATAAAAAATCACTAAAAACATCAAAATACTATAATTTTATATTGTAATTTAATTTATTCAATGAAAATATATAAAATTGTGTAAAAACAAGCTAATGTTCAATGACTTTAATTTTTATTTTGCTATATTACATTTTTTTTGGCTTTTTTTTTTTTTAATTTTCTAGTTTAAATAGTTTATAGTTATAAATAGTCTTTAATAGCTTGATATAATAAATAACTTTTGATTCAATTTTTTTTATTAATAATAATGTGGTGCTAGAGTGTTAGTTGTGGTGGTGGTGGTGGTGGAGGTGGAGTGATGGTAGCGGTGTGTTAATTCCATTATATATTTACAAATAAAAATGAAATACTGATTACATTCTATAAATTTTGTTAATTACTGTATCAAATATAGTAATGAAATATTAATTACATTATATCTTTAATTACGTTGTATTGCATTATATAAAATCAAACATGACCTAATAATCCCTAATTACTTGTTGAGGTCTAACGGTTACATCGTTGATGGTGATAGATGATGTTGTTTGTTTGTACCCATTCAAGGTGTTATCATCAAGCAATAGATTCGTATATGTTACTCAAATTAAAAATTATTAGGCTTCGGTTTCTTTCTATTTAAGCAAGCCTAGCATTTCTCATATGAATATATATTTATTAGAAACATTCTTAATGTGAAAATTTGACAATTTTATATCCCATTAAGAAGCTTCAAAAACAATGATGAGATTCAAATAATAGAAAAATAAAGACAAGAAAGTAGTCCCTCGGTACAATAATTCTTGTCCTAATTTCATTTTTCATCCATCTCAAATTATTATTTTTCTTTTTTAAAAGCGAATAATATCTTAAGCTTACTATTTTATCTTTATTTAATACGTTACTTTGTTAACAAATATAATAGCCAAATTACTCCATTGTCATTAATTAAATCTTAATATAAATAAAATTAATATATCAATATTCAATCATTTAAGAAAATTCTATTTAATTAAATGTTTGATTATAGTTAATTAATTTTAAAAGAACATTTAATATGAATCATTGAATTTTAATGAATATTAACATAAAGGTAGTAGCTTAAAAAAAATGTATATTGGGAGAAAAAATAAAGTAGAAAATATAGTTTTAGCATGTTAACTAAATTTTCTTAATCTGTGTATAAGCTAAACAGTGATAAAACTTATGGATAAAAATTCTGAATGTAGATAGCTTCGTGGTAAAGAACACTTGTGAGGTTGATTACTATGGCTTAGTTTATGGGTTCGATCCTTTGCAATATAAACTCCTTTGGGCCAGCTCCTTTGCCTCCAAGCGCAAGTAGGGATTATTCAACTTTATGGACTGTTAAATAGACATGAGCCTGAATACCTAGTGCAAATATAAAAAAAAAAAATTATGGACAAAAGAAATTATAATTATAACTACTAAATTTTAATTTCAAATTAGTTTTAGCCAATGGTTTGCTTTTTTATTCTGCTTTAGTTATAGGTAATTTCCAAAAAAGCACAAAATATGTGCTGTGAAATAAAGTACTTTTGGTGTAATTTACATTACAAACAAAATAAAGAAAAAGCAAACAATAATATATCATCAGCAGCTTCTGCTTAATACATTTAATGCACTCAACTGTTTCTTAAACCAACCCTCCAAATTGCATTCATAAATACACATTAGAGAAAACAAAAGATGAGAACAGAATAAAAAGAAATCAACTACACAAAGCTCAAGTCATTTTCTTCATTTCTATCTGCCATGGAAATTGTCTCTCTTCCTTATCAAAGGCTGAAAAATGAAGATCTGATTGGTGATCATTATGAAGAAAAAGAAGGATCAATAGTGAGAAAATCAAGAAACTTTCAAAAGTTCAAAACGGTGCGTTTAAGGAAGAGATTTAGGGTTAAGGTTCCAAGTTTAAGGAGATTTTGGAGAAAGAAAGTTAAGTTGGTATATTCTGCTTATGCTAAAGTGTTGAAGAGATTCAAAGGAAGTCAAGCTCATTTTGGTGATCTTTTTGCAGGAAACTATTTGTTCTTGCAAGTCAATCCTTCTTCACTGAAGTGTTTTGAAAAAGCTTATCATGGTTCTACTGGTTTGTCTTCAAGGTATTCCTTGCCAAAAATGGTTAATTATTAATTAGTATTATTGGGTTAATAGATAATTAGATATAATAGATTTGTAATAAAGCTCTCTCTCTCTCTCAATGTTCTTCATGTAATGGTGGATGGAAAATTACTGATTGATTTATATTGGAAAGAAAACCCACTTTTCACTTTGTAGTGATTATGCTTTTAACAACATCAGGACAAGCAAAGCAATCAGAACTGTAAATCATGGTTCAATTTCTGTGAATGGAAGTTATAAAGAATGGTTTTTTGTTCTTTTTTTTTTTCTTATAATTTATTAAATACATAATTTATTAATACTGTGAATAATAATATCATATATATATTTGTTTTTAAGGTTGGAATCTATATGTTGCAAATAGAGGCGGAGCCCCTTGGAGGCTTAAGGGGCTAGAGCCACCCAAGAATTAAAAAAAAAAAAAAAAAATTCTTTTGAAAAATTATATTTTGCTTTCTGCAATTTGCAACAAAATATCATTTGGCTCCTCAAAATAATTAAAATAATTGTCCTAACTTCACCTTTGATTACAAACAGCATTTGTGTGCACATTTTAAATGATATAAGAGTGTAAGAGAAAGGCTTGTGAACCAAAAATATGCATTCGGAGAAACAAAGACATGGGAGAAACATATATACTACACAAAGCAAGAAACTGGTAATATCTCATGAAGGAAATGACTAGAGGAGAAAAAAAAGTCTTTCCTTGATTATTGGAAGTAGAAATTGTTTCACCAACTAAATTCTATAATGACACAACCATATTAGATATAACTTTATTATCATAAACATGTGCAAAAATTTATTTTGTGGATATGCATGCAACTGTAAAATAACTCAATCTTGATTTATTTATCATGTGAGTGGTTAGGATTGAATTAAAGGGAGCATGCCTCCCTAACCACATGATAGGGACTTTTGTTTACGATAAGTCTAACGTAAGGGACCATTGTTTTAGATTAAGACCGTACACCGGCTATGACTATGACTATGATTAAATTTCGAACCGAATTAAGTGTTCTATGGTTATAAGATTCGAATACTGTTAGTTTACACAAAAAAAATCTTAAAGATTATAAATATTTGTATAACCCAACTTATAACTAAAATAATTATATTTTTTCTAAATAATAAAATTAAAATTAAGAGATAGGTAAATTATCTATTATTTAATTTAAACGATAAAATAATTTTTCTGGATTTTTAGATTACTTTTAATAATTTGGTGCAGGTGAAGTACACAAATCTAAATTTTTTAAAAGCCAAAATAAGAGTAAAAACAGATAAAAGAAAGGAAGGTAGACGCTACTATTGATTACGCAAAACTAAAATTAGGTTTACAACTAGAGAGGAATAGAAAAAGAAAATACTAAAATGTTTTTTTTATTAAAATTTTTTAAATCTATTGAATATATTGAATAATTTCATAATTATCTAATAATATTTTTTTAAAAAAATTATTTTTTTAGAGATTTAAATAAAATTACTAATTTAAAACTGATTTATATTATAACACATTTGCTAATTTATGATTTTTTTTTTGAAAGAGACTAATTTATGATTTGATTAATACTTTGATAGGTCCAAATATCATATTTAGTTTGACTATAATTTAAAAACCAATTAGTTAATTAGGGATGGAACCCTAGTATCAATAAAATTTGAGTTATCCATATCTGTAACTGTATTTATTTAGAATTTTACTAGTCATTTAAAATTCGGTGTAATATCATTTTAAGTATCTAACTAAGGTGTGTATTCTAAAATACGCGATTCACTTTTATTTTTATAGTCAACAAATAATATTTTAAGTGAAAGTACAAAATATTAATGGAATTATAAATTAGTGACCTTTTCTATAATTTTTAAAATAAAAAAATTTTCATATATTAATTTGAATGTAATTTAGGGATGGTTTTAATTTGTTTTTTTTTTTTTAAATAAAATTTAAAAAACTTACCAATAAAGAGTTTGAAAGGGTTTTCTTCCTGGTTTTCAGAAACTCTGCACTAAACCCTACACTGACTCTCCCACAACCATGAAGCTCCTGATTCAATCAATTTTTGGTACCCTCTTCGTCTCCATATCCAATAAACAAAATCTCGCACATGTGATCAGTTTCTTTTTTGTTCTTATAGCATTTTTCAATCGAAGCTTATGATCTGATGGACGATTTCAGGTCACCGGAGTCCACTACTTCGAGGGTTGAACCGCCGTTACTTCGCAGCCTCCACCGAGGAGTACGCCAAGCGAAATTACGCTAATAATGTCTCAGAATACAACACTGTTGTTGGCTCTATCACTGCTCAACGCAGGTCCTTCCCTTTTTTTTTTTGTGTTATTATAAAGTACTTAATCTCTCTACTTTATGGGTTAAGCAAACGAGGTTTCTTGGTGTCGGTAATAGGCATTTTCTACTGAGGGATGTGTATGATGATATGATGCTGGATGGAATACAGCCTACACGAGACACATTCCATTCGTTGATCGTTGGGACTATGAAAGGCTCTCGCTTGCATGATGCTTTCTACTTTAGAGAACAAATGAAAGGCATGGGTTTGGTTCCTGATGTAAGAGAAACCTTTTTTTTTTCTTCTAAGTTAGACTTTGTTTCTTTTGATTTATGAAGTTAGGATCTTTCAATTCTATGTATGAGTTAGGATATTGAATTTCTTTGGTTAGCTTGTTCACGATTTTGTAGAACTCCCTGTTTTGTTTTTGCTATAATAATGTTCTGTTTGGTTGATGAGAAATACTATGGAATTGATATTTAAAAGGAAAGGAATTCAACCAATAGTTTGTTTTTGTCTTGGTTCTTTCAAAGTAGTGAAGAAAGATTCTTGCTTGACGTGGTTTACCGTTCTTAGAACTAAAGTTATCACCTATTGGTTTCCCTTTTGGTCTCTAATTGTGGCCGTGTGATGACTGCAAGGTGCATGGATTTATTGTTCCATGTTGTGGCCAAAAAACATAAACTTGGTATTCTTGGGACTTATGCTGACCATAATCCAGGGGATCCTCAACAATCTTGCCTTGTGGAGTTTCTTTGTGCTTTCATGAATGGAATTAGTTGTGGGATTTATCATGCAGATATCAGTAGGGACTTGTATACAAATTTGTTTCTACAATGAGTAGCAAAAGGGCACAACGAGTGTGAATTTATATATTCAAAATCTCGCAATCTCGAAGCAATATGATGGAGTTTCGTTTGCTATATATATGAATAGGAATCAGTATAGTGTGGGCGATTTTATCATTGTTCTCACGACCTATCAGATTAGGTGTTAAGTTGATCATAGTTGGTAATAACAAGTTAAGCCCCGCCCAATATTTTGTTTTTCAATACAGCAAACAATATATGTGCACAAAACAGAGATCGTGGTGGAAATAATATTTACTCACTTATTATATCATATTATTAAAGTTAAAACTTTAAAGGTATTTTCCAAGCCAATAATAATTATTATAATTTGTTACATAGTTATATAATTTGAGAATATCTAAATCCATAGTTTAAACGTCTTGACAAGGAAATCCCAATCGTAGAACGAGCTAAATTTTCAGACACGATTCATAAAATTGTGTTTAATTGTATTTAAACTATTGTAGGATTTTTAATCATATACCTCGAATTGATAGAGAGTATAACTTTATATTATATACTTGATCCTCAACTGTCTAAGGAGAATATGCAAAAACTCTGTGACCATGCTGTATAAGTGATTTATGCTCTGATAATTTAAAAATTGGACATGCACTTTGGATGTTTCCCACTAACCATCTTATACGTGAGAACCATTTTGTATTCATTTTTTCTATTGGTTTTTTCTTTTTATATATTTGGATTAAGCTTGGTATCGGAAATGAAGCACTGGATAGCTAGTGATAAGGCCTATATAGGTGCCACAACCTATATGTCTGCAACTACTTAACGCTTGTGCATATGCAGGAATTGGTGAATTCGATGGTGGAGAGTGAGTGTATGCTATTCCTTTTCTTGTTTCTCATGCGTCAGCTCTCTTTTCATTTGATTGAAGATGACTGTGAGAAGTCTTCTGAAAGACTGCTTGTTCCATGAGAGAATCTAAGAAAATAAGATACTATGTGTTTAGGAGTTATTTAAGGGTATCGAGGTGACAAAGTAATGGCCTTCGGCTATATATAATTATAACTCTTGTTAAGCACATGAGAGTGCTGACGCGCATTGTGTGCACGAGTGGTGTGAATAAGGTTACATGCTCCTCCTCAACCTACCAAACATTTAGATCATAAGATTCCTAAAATCACGACCACCTAATTGTAAATGTTACTATGTTCTTTTGCTTTCTATTGATAGCTTTAGTGGCTTTTAGGGAACACTCACACTCAATGTTCATTATTCTGCCCGTAGTTTAAGACTAATTCACTGCTGAATTCGTTGGATGCCTATATGCTCTCGAGCTACACTTTTGCGTGTACTATGTAACTAATGCTCTATTTGGGGCCTTTTCTAGTTTTTGTTTTTGTTGACCAGGTATATATGCCAGACACCAATTATCTACTACAATCTATATTGTCAATTTTTACAGTCGTTGCTAATTGTCCTGATGAACTAACTCCCAATAATGACATGCTGCTGGCGCTGTAAAGGCTTCTGACTCAAGTTCTGCTATGACAGGAGCGTGAGTGAACTGAATTTAAATATAAACAATATTTGGAATCTATAGTATCCACAAAGTGTGAGGCACTGATCAGATGATACAAGTATCACACAAGATAATTAGCTCAAAAAGAAAAGACGATTACCTACCATCTTGATATAATATTTTTGCTCCTTTAACGTAAATATAATTTTTATATTTCATATGCATCTCACAATTGTGTCTGTTTTTAAAGAATTCACATCGAGCTTTGTTGAGCGATGATCACGAAAGGGAACTCGCCCAAGGTGAATATGGTTCATCTGCTCGACTCATCAAACCTACAATGGTGAAAAATAGTAGATGGGATGGAGGATAAGAGTTACTGAAAGAGGAATGCTGCTTACAAGTTTACCTACAGTGTATTTGCCTCAATAAGGCGTTGGAGGATTCTTTGACACCACAAACAGGAACTGGGCAACTAAGACTGAATGTAGTGATAGTTGCGCTATTCGTGCTTGTGGCAGAAAAAAGGGGTCTCACGTGACCAATGTGTGTAAGATTATCTCCACATCTCGGCCGTTAGTCCGTTTCTTCATTTTCCTATACATCTCTAAGCAAACCTGACTACTGTAATCGGAGTGACTTTTCACTAAAAAAATTTAACCTAAATCGTGGTATTAACTTGTCTTTTTTTTTTTTTTTTTTTTTTTTTTTTTTTGGTTAAGCTTTTGGAGGAAATGAAGATATATGAAGTGAAGCCAAATGGACAAACCTATGTCTGCCTACTTAACGCTTGTGCAGCAGCTGGTCGATTGGATCGAGTGTATGCTATTCCTTTCTTGTTCTCTGTCTTTTTTCCATTTGATTGAGTATGCTTAGATTTTCTTCTGAAGACTGCTTGTTCCATGGATCTAAATAGTACATAGTTAGGAGTATTAGGGTACAAGTACAAGTGTTGGCATTTGTATACCTCTGTAGCCTTGAAGTGCAATTTCAGCAGGTTCTTAATAAGGTGCATCCCCACCTACCAACATTTTTTAGATCATAAGATTCCTAAATCAGAAATAATTGTGTACTAGTTCTTTTGCTTTCTATGATAGCTTTAGTGGCTTTTAGTGGATCATAATCAAAATGTTCAATTATCTGCCCGTAGTTTAAGACTAATTCACTGCTGAATTCTTGGACCATTGCTTGAGCTAACTTTTGGCTCAGCCTAAGCTATTTGGCCTTTCTAGTTTTGTTTTGTTGGCCAGTATATATGCAACAAAATAATCTACTACAATCTATATTGTCAATTTTACAGTCGTGCAATTGTCCGTGATATGACTGCTGCTGGCGCTGGTTTGAACAAGTTCTGCTATGCAGGACTGATCACTGTACATATGAACAAGACACCGGTGTCAGATGATACAGCTACCAAAGTAATTATCAAAACTTTCCCCCATCTTGAATAATTTTTTGCTCTTTTAACTGTAATTTTTTTTTCTAATATCATTCTTTTTTAAAAGATAATCGAGTTTGTTGAGCAGTCAAAGGGATGGTCATCTGCTGACTCATCAAACTACAATGCTGAAAATGTGATGATGGGTGTTACTGAAGAGGAATTGTACAATTTACCTACAGCTGATTATGTCAATAGGCGTGGAGGATTCTTGACCCGGCAACTAACTGTATATCATGTTGCGCTTCATGCTTGTGCAGAACTTAGGAATGTTCAAGTATTATCTCACATCTCAGTAGTCGTTTCTTCATTTTCCATCACTAAGCAAACCTGTCTCTACGAGCTTCAGTGACTTTTCCTTTTAACAATTTATATTTTGGTCATGATAGGCAATGGAAACTCTTTTAGAAATGCTTAAGAAGGATGGAAAGTATCCTGATGTCTTCATTGTGATGCAAACAATGAGGTACTTTGTTGTCTATAACTGATATTTCTGGCCAATATTGCTTAAGTTATCTATGCACATGAATTTGCTAGATGTTATTAATAATTTGGATTGTCAAACATGTAAGGACATAACAAGAAAGATATTCAATTTCTGATTAGGTGGTGAACTTTAGGATGTCTCATCATGATGGTCTGCTTCTTTGAAGCAATTGCTTGTTGGGTATGAAACCGTTAGCTGAAATTTCTGGATTTTCATTAATCATTTGATCATCAAAGATAGAAGAACATAACAAAAATGATATTCATTGCTGAGTAGGTGGTGTACTTTAGGATGTCTCATCATGATGGTTTGCTTGTTCTAAGTTAATTGCTTGCTGGGTATGGAACAGTCAGTCCCAGGCTAATCATATAATTGCATTAAAAAAATGATCTTCAGTTGGACATTTCAACTTTACTATAGTTTGTCTTACACACTTCTATATTTTTCCAGGTGTTATTTACGTTCTGGAGACATTGATAATGGTCTTAGAACTTTTGAAGAATACATGAATTCTGGGAAAACTCCTGCAATAGAACTATACACAGTAAGTTCTGGTGATGGATAGGATATCTGTGATGTGAGGTCATATTAATACATCCTATAACTTGAATTTTATTGTTGCAATAAAATGCTGTTCGATCTCTGTTCTGGAAAGAAGTTAAAGTAACAATATAATATTTAAACTTCATTGTCTGATGTGAAATGTTGTTGTGTTGTTGAAAGAACCAACATTTCTATTCAAGATGCACTGGCGGGCAGGTTCCTTATTTGCAAATGCCTTTCATCTAAAAGTGCCTCTTATTACTTCACTCTTTTCATTCATTCTTTTCATAAAGAGTTGTGCTTGACTGTAACATTTGATGCAAGTCTGTTTGGGATGTTGCCAAAATGGAAAAAAAAATGTTAGTGGAGTGGGTATTTTTGTTTCTCAGTAGGCCTGTTTCAATGTTTCTTCTTTTGGCTATTTCTTTCCAATATAAGATGATAACGTTTGCATGGTCCTGAATTGAATAAACTTATGTGGCTGTAGACACTTGTCGATGGAGCAATGATAGGCTATACTCCCAAGGGAATGCAAATTGCTCAAGACACACTGGTATGGTTGGGTTATGATTCTTTATTATCATACTGATGTTATGATCATTATATTGTATGGCTCCATGGACAATGCAGGTAAATATGAATTCCAGAAACTTTTTCTTGAGTCCTAAACTAGGAAGTGATCTACTCCTTGTAGCAGCTGGTGAAAAGGTGAGAAAATTGCCAGTGCATTCTTTAAATAAAATAATATTTCTATCGTAAGAGTTTTTCTTCCTTTTCTTTTGTTGGGGGCGGAGGGATGGATGGGTTGTGTCCATTCATTTTATATTGTTCTAGTCATTTTGAGATTGAAAATTGGTTGAACTGACAATAGTATTCAATTTCAATGTTTCTTTGCAGACTGGTGGATATACGACAGCTAATTATATATGGGACTTGATGCAAGCTCGTAAAATAACCCCTTCATTTCCAGCCGTGGAAGCATATTATAATGGGCTAAAAGTGAGTCTTGTTTCATGCTTGATCTTTGATTTATTCTTACACCGGTCAATTGTTATACTTGGTTTTTTCTTCTTCTGGTTGCCATTTCAAAGAATTAGGTGAAGCACTTCAAAATTATTTTTATCCTTTCCATGACCCTAATGCATCAAGATGATGTTACTTATGAGGGGATCCTAATTTTGTCCTTGCATACTGAGGCAAACTAAAAAATTTCTGATTTTGTACCTAACTCAAAATTTTCATTTGCAATTTCAACTTGAAGGTTTAATTTTAAGGCGATGCAACTTTGACTGTTTTTATGTGTTTCCTTGGAAAGACCTGCAGATGATCCCTGCATTATTTAACATGGTTATATTACATGGTCCAAGCTCTCATAATTGTGCAGACAATTATTCTAGAATCTAGCATAATCAACACTTTTTCCACAATATGCGACAAACCTAGTAGTTCCATAATCGATACTTTCAAATGGGTTATGTGCTCTGCTACGTAAGTGACTTCAAATGTGTGGTATTGTCAGGCAAAAGCTTATAGAATTTCTTTGATTCTTGACACCAGTCATCTTGCTTTGCTATACTTTTGTTTTTCTCTCATACTATTTTGTATTGCAGGAACGCGAGATACCTTCAGATGATCCTCGGCTGTTACTAGTTTCCCGTACTTACGATAACCTACGCCTGAGAATTGGAGGTGGACAACGACAATAATTTGTTAGATAAGGAACAGAATGATGATGATGATCCTATCTGTATCAAACGGAAATGCCATTTGGAGTGACAATAGAACTTCAAGAGAGGCTTTGGTAGTCGAGATACGACATATGAAGTGATGTTCGGAGCATATTGGGATCTTTTTATGTCTTGAAATTTTGATGCTTTTGTAATCTGGTTATTACTTTGCTGTTCCATTAATTAAATAATTGAAACAGAGAAAAATAAATGTTTTCTATCCTCTTGCTGGTAATTAAACAGACGAATAAACTCATTAGTCCGATATGTGGGTAATGTTTTTTGTTGTATGCTTTAAAAATTAAATGAGATAAAGCAGGGAATGAGAATTGTTTGCCAATCACTGGATATGCATATAGCTGAGTTTAAAAATACCGCCAAAGTACAATTAGAAAATGTTAATTTAATGTTAAGCATCTAAAGATTTTCACTAATTGGGATTATTTTGATATGGCTGTTAGATAATTATAAAAGTGTATAAACAAATATGGAATAATACCAGACTCACCCCGCAGAATAAAAAAAATTACAGAATGGCTTGTTTTTAAATTACTTATTTATATTTAAAAGAAAAAAAACAGAAACTAACGGTTTTTTCCCGTGTTCTATATTCTGATAATAGCGCTGGAATAGACCTAAAAGCTGCCGAGTCCTAAAACATAATTCTAGCTATTACGTCGCCGAAGCCGAAACAAGACCGCACTGCTTAACTTGCTTACTACGGTCACTAATCGCCGGTCGCCATTTTCAGTAAGTTTTTGGTGCTTTCTCTTTATTAGACTGCATCCAATTGTTTTTCAGGCACATAAATCTGTAATTTCTTTTTTTTTTTTTTTTCGGGATTTGAAGCTCTTGTTTTATCGGAAAATTTTCTCATATGGGATTTAAGCAGGAAGTGTATTTTCTTTATTATGAGTATATTCCGTGTTGGTAGTTGGTTTGTTCTAGAGTTTATTAACAGTAGGAAATTGGAGTTAGCTGTGATTAGCCAGTAAATTTTGGCATATTGTCCATTTAAAGGCTACTCAAGGTTTTATATTTCAGTTGCAAATACTGATAGATTTAGATGATATGGGTTATCTGTGCATAATGCAGCAATGAAATTTTGCCTTTACCTGTTCAATATAGAAGGGTCATCCATGGGCTATGAATGCTATTATTGTTATGATTGAGAATTGATTGAATCGGGAAATTTAGGTAAAGGAAAAGAAAAAGGTGTTTTGTACCTACATTCAGTTTCCATCATTTTAATTTTTCATTTCATAAAATGTATGAAATTTTAATTGTTTGATTAGTTTGGCATGCATGCCTTTCCTGATCTGATCATGAGATTGTGATTGTATTTTCACTTTATTTCATTGGGCAGAATGGCTAAGGAAGAGAATGAAATTAATGGATTGAGTTCTCAGAATGAAGGGTATCCCAATTCCACTGAGGAAAGGGTGCGGAGTAGGAAGAATAAAAAGAAAAGACAGTTGCAGGACAGTGTGAAGACAGAAGATGAACAGGAGGTCAATGGAGATAGCGATTCAACAGAAGAGAATTCACAATCTGGTGATATAAGAGTAGAAAGTAGAAAAAAGAAGACAAAGAACAAATTTTTAGAAAAAACTGGCACAAGTGAGGAAAGTTGTAAAAAATCTGGTGGTGGGAGAAAAAAGAAAGGGAAAAAGAATAGAGAAAAGCAATTATTACAGGAAATTGCTGAGGATGAAGAATTGCAAGATGCTAATACAGAAGGTTTCCAAGAAGATGTGTATCCAGCAGCTGAAGGTGGAAAAATTGACGAGGAGAATTTATTATCGAATGAAATTACAGAGGGTGAAGATGAGCAAGAGGACAATGGAATAAAACCTGTTAAAGAAAACCATAGGCTTAAAAAGAAAAAGAAGCATTTATTAAAGGAAGCAGCTAAGGCTGAAAATCGTGGTGTTTGCTACTTGAGCCGAATTCCTCCTGGCATGAATGATGTGATACTTCGTCAGATGCTTTCCCAATATGGAGAGATACAAAGGATTTACCTTGTACCTAAAGCTAAAGGTGTTCAATCAATAATCCCTCAATTGTCTTCCACCCCACTTTTCTATTTTCTTCTTATTTGTACTTTCTCAAAACAGCCTCAAGTTATATGCTAGTCATTGGTTAATTAATTAAATGGAACACATTAATTTACTCTACAGGCCCTGCTGCTCAAGTACGCCGCAAAAAAGTTGATGGATTTCGAGATCAAGAATTTTCTGAAGGGTATGTTCAGTAGTAAAATATATGCTAAGCAGGTTTAACGTAATATCTTCAAATCAACAGCTGGTTCTTTTTAGGATTATCTGGATATTGAATCTGTCTCTTTCTCTCTCTTTCTTTCTATCAATTCCAATCTGGTATGGAATCAACAATTTGGTGTTGTATCTGACTTTTGTTTGACTTGAGAGATTGCATTATCTTACTATCACAATCATTAATCACATGGTTCTCTTTTCCTGTAACCTGTAGGTGGGTTGAATTTGCCAATAAGATCGTCGCCAAAAGGGTTGCCAGTATGTTAAATGGTGAACAGATTGGTAGGAAATTCAATTGAAATGTGCGCGCGCCCGTGTATTTATATATATGTATATTTGGTTTTTCTCTAATTAGGTGTAAGATTATGTATCAGCTCCTCGGTACTCTAATTTATGTGTCTTTTGGGGAGCAGAACAAGAATTAGCTGTTGAATAGAGAAGCCTGTAAAGTTAAAAATGATAACCCTGTTATTGGAACTTATGCATGAACATAATGCTCCTAAAAACATTTCTAGCTACTTAACCCTAAAGGTTTATTCTTTATTCAGATTATAGCTTCATATCTCACTTTCATTTCTGTGGTTTGAGTTGTGATTTCTAAGCCAAATAAAGAAATTGGTTTGCTTGTGCGTTGTGAAAGCAAATACTGCATGCCCTATTTTGGCAGTTGCATGATACTGAAATTTGTTCAGTTCCTATCTTCTGCATGATTTTATTTCCCTGTGTTTTCCTTCATCTATATTCATCGTGTTTTTCATGTTTAGGTGGGAGGAAGAGGTCAAAATTCTATTATGATCTTTGGAATATTAAGTACTTGACTAAATTCAAATGGGATGATCTTACAGAAGAAATTGGTAAGAAGACATTTCTCTTGTGTTTTATCATTCTATGCTTATTAGTTCAGTTCACGTTTAAGTGTGGGCATTTCTAATTCAGCTTACAAGAGTGCTGTTCGGGAGCAGAAATTAGCTCTAGAACTATCTGCTGCAAAGAGGGAACGGGATTTCTATCTCAATAAAGTGGATCAGTCTCATGCTTTGAGTTCTATAGAAGAACGTTTAAAGAAGGTAAACATTGTATAAATGTATGTGACCTAATTTGTGTTCTTTTTGTGGAATCTTTGGCAATTGTGTTTCTGAAATATTTGGAAGCCAAGTTTCTTTAGCCAGACATCATAGGTTCAATGTCTTGTAGATTTCTTATCAGAAACCAATGTTCCTATCCTCTATTGGACCGGTTTAAATGTGTTCCGCACTGTAAGTGGGTGTTATAGCTGCTTCAGGTAGCTCAAAAAGGAGTATTGATTGTGAAATAAATTTTAATTAGCAAGTTTCAGAACTCACAATCATGGTCCCAGGGATGGGTTTTTCCAATGGATTCATCATACGTGTTTTTCTCTAGTCATTTTTAAGGTTAATGGTTACTTTTTTTTTTGTACATTTCATAGTTTGAATATTACTCCTTTGCCAAAGAGAACATGTAAAGCTAGGGGTTGTTCTATATCTTTGTAGCATAATGTTTTATTCTTAAGTCTCCTATTTGTCTACTGAGCATTTATCTAGTTTCAAGATAAATTTTTACTGCATTATCGGTTTCATCTGTTGCTTCTGCAGAAGCAAAAGATCCAACAGGACGCAGGTGGGCAAGTCACTGTTATTGAGCGAGTACCGAAGGTCATCCGTCAATTCCCACAGATAAAACCAGTTGCTAATAAAGCTGAAGAAAGGAAATCTCACCTCTCGAAAGACATTCTGGCTGGGGTGAGTCATTGTTAATAGGCCTCAACCTCAAACTAAATTATTTGTTTCCTTGAGCTTATTTTCTTGTTGCCCTATATGCAGGTTTTTGGTGCTTGATAGTTGGCAAGTCTTTTGAAGCTTTTGGGAATGTTCATATCATATGAAGAGCTTAGAGGAGGATACTGTATGCTGCATCACTTTTCTATGAGTCTAGCTAATTGAGCATCTTACAATTTTATTACTATTTTTAACAATTTTTGATGATAATTACAATTTTGTTATGTAATCACTTTAGCTAGGAGCATCATGGACATGGCAACCTATGCACTGTAAACATCTTAAGAAGCACAATTAATACTCCATGTATCTACCGTCTCAAAGGTTTTTTATTTTTATTTTTATTTTTTTAATGAATATCAGTGCTGTGGAGAAGGCTAGATTGTTACTTTTTGCTTCCCTATGATGAGGCTGCCAAAGCAATCCAAATGAAAAGAGCGATTGAGCCTTGACAAATATATATAATTTGGTAAAAATAAGGCAGAATGATAAAATTAAATGCTATTGTAGTTACATACTGCCTAATTCATTAAATTTAGTTCAATTTGGGTGGTTTAAGCGGTTATTGACGGTTTAAATATTCTATGATATATAACCTGTTTTATAAATATGGAAAGAAATACTTGCATTTTTTTTTTTTTTTGCCTTGAGAATAAAATAAAAAAAAAAATTTAATTCTTTAATCTTACGTCAATTTTCATTATTTCATTCTTCACTTCGTCATTAAATGTTGACATTGCTAGCCATGTTCTTTTAACATTTATTACTAAAAAAAATTATCAAAATCTCAAGCTTTAACTCATATAATTTGTACATAATGTATATGAATATATTTTTTTATAAACAATTTTCACACAATAACTATATAATGTATGTGAATTATTAATCATTTCATAGTTAAAATATACTAGATATACAGCGCAGTGCAGTTCGGTTTAGGTTGATTTTGACCCTAAAATCACAAGTCAAACCAATAATTTATTTTTTAAATTTCAAAAACTAAACCAGACCATCAACTTTTCGAAATCTTAGTTTGTATTGATATCAACAGTTCGAACGGTTTCCTGTGCTTAAAGTAATACCTTGATTCTTAATAATAGAGAACACATTAGGATTAATGGAGAAGCAGCAACGTTGATTGCTGTCATCATGACAGGAATAGGTAAGAGATTACAAATATCAAAGGAACTGCAAAAAACACAAATTTACCAACATGAAGAACCCTACTGGATAGACTTGAATCCCTATATCAATTAAATTAAATTTAGCCCAAAGAACAACACATGTTGGATCTATACATTAAATCTGAACCAGGAAGTTGGATAACATTTCTTAACATATATATTCAAGGGTGGAAGGGATCGAACAAGCTGAATGGAATTGCACAGAAGGATCAACTATGATACTGAACCTCACTTTCAATTAACTACAACAACTTCCTCTCTGTGCAACAGCTCCATCTCTTGCGCCTGACGGGCCCTGAGAGCGCACATATCCAAACTTGATCCCGGAAGACTGCAATTATAACAGAAAAGTGTGACTAAAATAAGAATGAATTTTTTTGTGCAAGGAGTAATGAAAGGTTGCAAAAAGGTCTAAACAATCATTCAGACACTGCATTGTATATAACCAGACAAACAAGCATAAGAGGTTAAAACCATTTGCCTCTCCTGTATAACCCAAATTCAGATCATCAAATCATTTAAGTTGCTAATTTTGGGCTAGCAAGTTTGAAACTGATCGAAATACCATAGTTTGGATTTGCAAAGGCATGCAAGGAAATGTGTTACATGAATAGTTCCACTTAGCACAGAAAATATGCCAATTAACATTCGTCCACATGACCCTCCTAAGACCTTTGCAAGCCAATGAGGCTAGGTTTTTTGAACACATAAGATACGGCAATTCTCTTTCATTCTTTTCCCCAAGACATCCTGATTGTGTTGTGACAAAAGGACAAAAAAAAAAAAAACAAAGCCAGGCCCCAAGAGAATGTGAGTGGAGCAAACTCAATGATTACCTCATTGCCTGCATCAATTACGCCTTCCTGTATATTCTTGAGGATCTGGCCAGCAGTCCTTATGAAGGCCTATAATAAACATGTTAGTATATTAGCCGGTATCAATTAAAAAGAGAAACTGAAGATTTTACCTTTGGAATTGAATAAAAATATAAGAATGAATCTTAGGCAGGTTAGAACACATCACCTCCTCGACATTTTGAGCAGTTCTTGCAGAAGCCTCCAAGAATAGAAGTCCATTTTCCTTTGCAAACTGTTCCCCTTCCTCTTTGCTGACAGCCCTCCTATGAGCAAGATCACATTTGTTGCCTATGAGCATGATTGTCATGTTGGAATTTGCATGCTGCCGAGCATCCTCTAGCCAGCTTGCCAAGTGATTAAATGTCTCTCTCCTGCACAACATCCCAGATTCAGTTCAGATAACACAAATACTATAAGAGAACAAGAGGCAAAGGGGAGACAACAAATACACAAGCTTCATTCTCTCAAAAGCTATACTGGGGTGGTGCAAAGACTGCAATATGGGCATACTCAGTTTTCAGAAATGAGAGAATAGGGAGTCCACGCGTTCATGCACTTTGTATGTTGGTTCTCAACATAGTACAACAAAAGTAGCTCTTAAAATTACAAGCAGAACTGCAGGCACTTGACCACTGAATTTGAGTATTACCACAATGGAGTGACTTGAAATGCACAACACGTTAGACATTTATATTGGGTAAAACAGAAAGATATAGTCCAATCATTTTACTAAAGCTTAAAGAATGAGAATGGTGATGAACAGAAGTTTGACATTTTTCTTTAATGTGTTAACCTTACTTTGGAAGGAAATCATACTTATTTTGAAATATCTTGTTTGCCTACAGAAAAAAGAGCATGCACTTATGCAAACATAGGCAGACACACAGACTGACCTTGTAATGTCATAAACCAGAAGTGCACCAGCTGCTCCTCTGTAGTATGATCTAGTGATGGATCTAAATGATTCCTGGCCAGCCTGAAATCAAACCGCAGTCCTTCATAAAAAATATGTTGATTTATGAACACATTCATATACTTGGACATTAATACATATGTTAAGTATACAAGTATGATTAAAACTACAGGGAGTTATGCACATAGAGAATGCACTTAGAAAAAAAAAAATGTAATCCCAAATACAAATAATGCTTACGTATCATCTAGTGTTTCCCGATATAGATACCAATACCATTGATTACAATTTACAAGTTCAGTTATTTACTACCCTTTTTCCTCATATGGAATTGCTGAAAAGCTAGCTGACTAATTTCACAAACCAAATGAGAACTCACATGTAGCAAGCATATATCTATGCACTACAGTATCTCGAATGAAGGGTATGCAGACCGAGCCATGGGTCGATTCTATGACACACGTCAAACAGTAATGTTGGAAAAGCCAAAAATCTGGCAATCTTATCTAAAGATGAAATTCTCTTTTAATCAGTATTTTAGTGAAACTAACATCTTGTTTGTAGTAATGTATTTTATCATGCTCTAAGAGCAATAAGCAAAATGATCCCTTTTAAAAGCAATCCCTTTCAAAAGCCAGTAAATTTAGTTGGCATTTAACATAAGTTTTAAATTTAAGAAAATCTAAAGAAAGACAATTACTCGCAACTCATAACTATTCAAAAAAAAGAATAAATAAATAATTTAACTAAAAGATACAGGCTTCGGAGAACAGCATAAATAGAATTAGAAAACAATTAAAAAAAAAAAAAGAGAGAAGAAAGAGGGCGGGCAACATACAGTGTCCCAAATCTGAAGCTTGATAGGGCGACCATCTATAGTGACCATACGAGCACCGAATTCCACACCAATAGTGAGATCGTGAACGGGCTGAAACCTCTTATCGGTGAATTGCAACAGCAAGCATGATTTCCCTACGCCTGAACCCCAGGAAACCCATTCCAAAACCCTAAAATTTTAAACTTCGCAAGGAAAAAAAGAAAAAAAAATCAAAAACTAGAGGAACCAATCACAGAAAAACGAACCCGTGTCGCCGATGATTATGTACTTGAAGAGGTAATCGTAAGACATTTCAGAAGGCAGGAATACGACAAGTCGTTAAGTAAGGAAGGTTGAAGATGACGAAGATGAAGACAATGAATCTGGGATGTTCTTGAGGTTTCTGGCTTTTGTGTGTAACAGTGAAGGATTTTGGTGGGCTGAAAGAATTTGAGAGAGAAAGAAAAAGAATTGAATTGAATTGAATGGCTTACCATTTTGTTTTTCAAATTTTTTTTTCTATAAAAAAAAAAAAAGACAGCGTGACGTATAAAAATACGGTGTACTGTTTTTTTTTAAATAAAAAATTTGGTTCACTTAATCGCGAATCAATCTGCTGTATTTATTTTATTACATAATGTTTTTCCTTACATTATATTACTCAATGAATGTGATAAAGAAAATTGTTGCATGTATTATAAGGTTATCCGTTCCATTTAAAAAAAAGAAGAAGGTAAAAATAATATAATAAAAAATATAATTCTTTTAAATAATTAATCATTGATTGTTGTATAACAAATTGATGGATTAAACCGACTTAATAACCATATTTAAGCTCGTTTTATTAAATTTACCCAATAAATAATAAATTAAAAATTTTTTTAAAACCAAAATAAAGCCTCACCAATAAATTTAAAAAGAATTTTGATGGATATATATTACATTATCCTTTTTTTAAATCTATAGTGGAATTTGACTTGATTGTAGAAAAGTTATAGATGGGTTCTAGACTCTGTTTTGTAATAAATAAATAGCAGACTTGCATATAGAGTTTCGAGTTGGTGGCGATGAAAGCAATAATAATAATAATAAATAAATAAATAATCAATCAAATACGCTAAACAGTTAGAATTGTTTATGCTTTTTGAAAAGCATTATTCTGGCCTTGGTAGACAAGCCTAGAGCTTTCCATAAAGAAGAGGTATGGAACTATTGGATTAGATGATTTTGTCTTTATAGCTTGGAAGGTAAGAAAGTTGCGGATTAAAGGATGAGGATCACAACAACTTCCTACACCTTTTTCACCAATGCATATTTATCACTGAAAAGGGTATTGCCAGGATATCCTGACCTGACCTGACCCATACTTATTCCAAGCTGGTAGAGATCACAATTTTCCCTCTTTAGAACGCCAAATATTTGTGACCAAATTATCAATTCCGTTTTCTCAGTTTCATGTAGACCCAGTCATAGTTCCAAACATAACTAGAATCAATTCAAATCAAAACCCAAACCCTAGATTCAAATGTAGGGAATTGGTCCCCATTTCAATATCCAATCGGTTTATTTCTTTTGGGTTCTGCTTGGCTCAATTTGCAAACAGGTTCAATTCCAGTTAGTGCTACACTATTCCAGGTTCAATTCCGAAAAATAACTAATCTATCCATGTGCTTTTAAAATATATCAATTTATCTCTATATTTTTACTTCCATTACACTTTGTGTTTTTAAAATTATATCAATTATCTCTATATTTTTACTTCCATTACACTATTAGACCCTTCTATCCAATTTTTGCTCCGTTGAGTCAACAATAAAATACAAAGATCAAAAGGGAATTGTTAAAATTTTATACCAAACAAAATACAATTCAGTCAATATAGTTTGACAAATACATCTAGTTTTATAACTAAACGGAAAAAACTTATAAGCCGATGCGAATAAACTTTAAAGTTAGTCTATAACCGGACTGTAATTTTCCCAAAGAAAATGATTCCGATGCTCTGTGAACATAGGTCATAATACAGCAACGGTACGATGTGTGCAAAACTCTCAAGTGAAGAGAGTTTTGTTGACATTTCTGCAGCATTAAGATCTGGCTATCCCTGTGGGCATAGAAAAAACAGTTTGGGCAATAGAGGGCAATGCCATACCTAGCATTGGCGAAAGTATGCCATTTCTAGGAACTTCACGCTGCTGGTACACTAATTTTCAAGCTCTTCTAACAGTAAATAATCAGAAAACCAGTAAATCTCATGAAAAGAATGTCCATAATCCATTGCTAAAACTTCTTTACTATCAGAGTTGCTGCAATATTGAAAAACAAAACAAAGTTATGGAACACATAAATTCCTCAAGGATTGATTTGTCCACGCTCCCAATCAGTTTAGGAGTCACACTGCTATGAAGGCACAAACATTTCAACATCGAATCATTGAGGTTCTGAAACTGGATATTATAAAATACATCATCATCCCAATAACACCATCATAGATTATTTAAGATCTCAACTATGGGGCTGATGATTTTCACTCTTCCATTGCATCACCTCCTTCAATCACTACCTCTCTGTCCTTCAATGGTGTAATCTTTGTTAGAAGGACCTCTGCAAACAAAAATGAATAATTACAAAAAATATTAAACAACTTATCACTAAGTAGAAGCTAATAAATAAAGATCATCTAGCTTGATAAGATCACAATAACATTTCAACACTGGGATCTCAAAAATTGTTGTTCTATTGATTAGTTCATACAATTTATGTAACATGGCATCTACAAAACTACAATGATATGTCCTAAAAGGCATCAATCATTCTTACAGTGTTTGGATAACTTGCAAAACGAATTTCATTAAAAAAATTCATTTAATTTTTATATTTGGATTAACCATAGAATTAAGTATGAATATGAAATTTACTAGTTTGTACTAGAATTCATTAGCTTTAGTAGCTAGACCCTCATTAAGTTTATAGTTCATTTGTAAATCTTACCAATCTTGGTAGAATTTGGTTCAAGCATAACCAATTTTATAGAATTAAAAATGTAAGATGCTAAATGAATTTTCAATTATACAAAACAAGTTCATTAAGAGATAAACGACGCCTGCTATCCCAATAACTTCTTCCTCTTCCTTAATCAACTGAAGAGTTGACTATATTAGTAGTTTATTAGACAATTCCCTCAAAAACCCTACCATCTCTCAAAAGCAAATTTCATAATTAGATGCTAGAAGTTGTAGTGGAGAATAAATAGAAGCATATTCATAAGAACAGGAAAATTGTTTGTCACTGACCAGTCTTCTTTGGAAAAGTATATCCTTTTGCACTGACATAGGTACGTGGATTTGGTAACAAGTGGTTCCTCAGGTACTCTTTGTGTCCCTGTCTCAGCACACATTACAAGGGTTTAGAAATCAATATGAGGTTAATTTGTATTTTGACAGGATAAGTGGTTAACTACATACCTTCGTTATAACACAGACATCAACATTGCTTCCACTTCCCAAGTCATTGAATACGCCAGAGCATATTGCTTCAGTTACAAGCTTTATACCTTCATCCCTCTACAAAAATAATCAACCGGGATTGAGTAGGAAAAGAAAGAATGCAAGCAATCATTTTTTTCCCTTTTTCATGTTTTTTGTAACAGTAATTTAAGCAATGCAGCCAATCATTCAACAAATAAAGAGGTCATACATTGAACTCCTTGCGTCTTTGGATGTTAATTAGTTACAAACTACTTAAGATCATTATTTCTTGACACCATAGCATCAAAAACACTATCGCGCACTAACTTACATTCAAGCCTTCTTTGTACTTCGATTCAAAAATAGCCATTGCAGCAAGAGAACCAGAACCCATTGTAGCAAATGGCAATGTATCAGTTGATCCATGCGGGTATATCTGCAAAATAAACCACCCCATTCACAGAAATCAGACTATTTTTTCAGTTTAAACCATGCTTCCTGGTACAAAAGTCCCTCCCATCACAAGAAAACTCACTGTATGTAAATGAGGACCAGTGCAATCAACCCCACCAAGCACCAAAGCAGCCTGGACATAACCTTGGTAGCTGTACAAATAATTAAGCATTTAGGATGTATGCTTGCCATAAAAATTTGTATAGCAAAAAAACACAGTTGGAAACAAGAGAAACTCACTTGAAAAGATGCTTCTTAAGAAGAGTCAGTGCTGTAACAACCCTGGACTCTCGGCCGGTATGGTAACGATGTAACTGCAGCTGTGAGCTGACCATGTCTACACAAAGGAAAACATCATAGAAACATATTAGTTTTGGTACCCAAAGAGGAAAAGCTACAAGCATCCAGCATGTTAAATTAGATTCTATAAAGAGACATCATTACAACAATAAACAACCAAATTAAATACCTGTTACTGCCTCTGTATCAGCAGCAGTTCCTGCTCCACAACAATAAATATTGGGGGCCATATAATGAATCTTCTCACAATTCTTATCACAAACTATGGGTCCCTCCGTTGCTCTAGTATCTGCCCCAAGAATGACGCCATCCTATGCAGAATACACTAAAGGGTAAATAAGAAGTCCATAAATAAAATGAATAAGGTAGATCACTGCAGAAATTTGCAAGTCCATATTACTAAGATCCTTCTTGTATCGTTGTTGTTTTTGGTTTTTGTTCTCAAATATAAACGAAAGGTCCATTATTAAAATCTATTTGTTTTTGTCATTTGGGTTTGAAGACAGAAAAACAGTTTTCACAATGAAGGAGAACCACAAAAAGTAGTTTTTACATGTTTCATCAACTCAATTTCGGAGAAACCAACTTTTGGTTCAGAAAAACAGAAACAAACAAGAGAGAGAGAGAGAGAGAGAGAGAGAGAGAGAGAGAGAGAGAGAGAGACTATAAGGTTTTGGTGATTTGCAGTATTCTCACTCAGATGTTACTTTCCTTCACGCTCACAATCTCCAGGTTTCTATATTGTCCTTTCCTTTTCATCATGGTGCAATATGAAAGAATAAACAAGTCCCTCTTGCTTTTGGCTTGAAATAGCCCCAATGTATTCTTAGATGCAATTTATGAATTATGATCTCTTGCCCTTATCCACTCTCAGAATCACCCAAGGACTCTGCAATCTGTCCCTTCTCTCTGTGTGTCTCTCTAGTATGGTTGCTCATAATTTCACTTTTTATTTTTATTTATTTTGGATTAATCCAGTAGACCAGCTGACTTAACTGTGCCATTCTGCACTCATAAGGATTGGTTAAACAAGAGTTTAAGAACTTAGTAGAAGTCTATTTCAGTGGTTTACGTTCTCCCTTTCCTACTTCTATTCACCACATTTGAGTTTCGTTCCAGTAAACTTCGAACAACATTTTTCATTTGAGAATAGTCAAGTAATAACAACTAAAATTTCACATATTTTTGCTACATTGATAATCAATTTGTTGGATCAGATAGTTTCTATCATTGAATGCTACCAAGTTTTCAAATGGAAAACCAAACAGGGACAGTTAATTGAAAATGCACAAAAATGAAATTAGAGAACGGCAAAAAGTAATCAAATAGACTACATAACAGTACTAAGAGCAGATAATAAAAATGAGTTTTAGGTTAAAATTTTACAAAGAACATGAAAATAAATAGAGTTTCCAAGTATTGACGCACCTGAAAAACTATGCCAACAATTGTAGTTCCTGTTTTCCGATAGGAAGGAGGTTTCACTCCCTTCTTCGCCAGCATATCGTTTCTTCTACAAAGATCAAAACTGAAGCCTCCCTTTAAGGGAACATCCACTGCCGATTTCGACATTCTTTACCAATTTGAAACTGAACTTCCCTAAGAAGAAGAAAAGAAAAAAGGAAAGCATTGTCAAATCCAGAAAAATCAGTAGCTTAGAAATTGAAAATCTGAATAGCCATAAGAGATCCCACCCTAATGTTTGCTATTTACCTGTAATCGAATCAAGAAGTAGCAGATATCAGAGTGAATATTATGGTTTATGAATCGATTTCGATTTTGATTTCGATTTCAAGGTTCTTTTTGGGCTTTTGACAGTGTGTAACCTAGCGGAGAAGAAAAGAGTTGTTTGCTAAAATAGGTCTAGTTTACAAAGTATTTGCTAATTTGGTGCTTACTAGAAGGCTATTTGCCTTACTTATGTATCGGAGAAAAAATAGTTTTGTACTTAACCAAACCAAAATATACTGTTAAATAGTTAGCTTCAAATAATCTTATATTAATTGAAATTGGGATTGAATTATAATTTTAAATTTTATTAATTTCAAGAAAATTCGATAAAAAAAATTCAAATTCAATAAGTTGGAACACGAACATAATATTTAAAATGTAATTGGACTTATTGATAATTTTTCTTCTTTAGTATGAAGGAATATTATGAAAATAGTTTTTGTAGATGCATCATGCCAATGGGAATAATGCATCTTTACTTAATATTGCTCGAAAAAGAATCTTAACGTTGGTTCATATAATATCATCCAACAAAACCATAAGCATATTTGTGTTTGTTTTGTTTAATAAAAGACTTTTTTTTTTTTTTTTTCGGACGTTGGTTCATATATATCATCCAAAACAAAACCATAAGCATAATTTGGTGTTTGTTTTTGTTTTACATAAGACTTTTTTTTTTTTTTTCGGGTAGAATCAGAAAGTTTAAAATCCTTCTATACGTAAAGATTAACAATGAACATGTTATACAAGTTTATAATTAATTGCTATAATTTCAGCTTGATTACATAAGCAATTTGATGTAAGAGAAATGTTTTTTTTTTTTTTTTTTCGGTAGAATCAGAAAGTTTAAATCCTTCTATACGTAAAGATTAACAATGAACATGTTATAAGTTTATAATTAATTGCTATAATTTCTAGCTTGATTACATAAGCAATTGATGTAAGAGAATGGGCATTGTGATACAGTTAATATAGATTGCTCAATGTTTTTCATTTCTACATATGTATGGCTGAATGCATAATTTTCTCCTTAAATTTTTTTTTTATTGCTATTGATACCTCTTAATTTTGCGAGGGACCACTTGTGCCTCTTAACTAGTGTCTTTGTAGCTTTTTACCCCTTGTCATGCTCGATCAGTGGAGCGTGGACGAAACCATTATATAGAGCGTAAACAGTAATCTTTCTATTTGATGTGTAAGAGACAACATTTCTCTCTTGTTCATTCTCCATTCTCATCCCCAATCTTCTATCTTTTCTCTCTCTTCGTTCTCCATTTCTCCCAAGAACATAAATAAAATCTTCTCCCGAAACAAACAAATACAAAACTAAAAATAAAAACTTTTCCAACAATCTTACCTAGTAAAATCAAAACTGAAAATTTACCTTAATCCGTTACTTAAAAACTTCCGCTTCCAAATATGAAACGATAATCATGAAGTCGAGAAAAAAATTCCAAATATTTCAAGAAATAAAAATAAAAATTAGAGATTTGAAGAGCTACTGAAGTTGGAAGTTTTATTTTAGAAATAAAAATGCATGCAAACCCATTTGCGATTTTGATTTGGAGGCTGAAAAAAAAGAACCTTGAAACTATTCAATGCAAATAATTAAGTCGGAGAGAGAGGGTGAAACAATAAAGAATCTAGTTTAGAGATAAAGAGAAACTGAAGTCTGGGTTCAAAGAAGAAAGAGAGAAAATGAAAATAGCAGGAGGTGCGGGTCTTCAAATCTCTATTGCAAAGGCAACTTATTCATTTAATTTTTTCATTTTTCTCTTTCCTGTTATTTCCCGAATATGCGGAAACCAGCATGATGTCTAAACTAATGACATATCAACTGCTTATAACATATCAACGCGAGTGTAATTCACACACATGCTTCAATTTACTCAGGGATAAAAAAATTACAAAAAACATTAGTTAAGGGGTACAAGCGGTCCTTCACAAAGTTAAGGAGCACAAATAGTAATTTGAAAAAAGTTTAAGGGGGAAATTATGCATTGGGCCATATATTTATAGACACCAAGAAATCCAAAAGGTTAGTTAATCAATATTTACAATCTTGTGTGAAATTTAAGTTGGTTTGAGTATTAATTAAACGAGTTTTAAATGAGTATGAGTATCAAATTTATTAGATTTAGTCAGTTGTGTGTTTAAAACTACAAATTTTTTTAATTTATTGAAGATCCAATTGGTCAAAGTAACACTGCAGGCTATACAATAAAGATAACTTTTCCCTTGGTTCACTAAATTGGTGAAAATAATGTGGTAAAGAGTTCTCAAATTCGAGACCTCCCACTCATAACATAGATAAAAAGAGTAACCAGAGCACCACTTGATTATTGAATTTGGAAATTTAATTATATACCAAAGAGAGAATTTGATGATCATGGAATCATTTTATTTGGATTTTTACTTTATATATGTTGATGATATTATAATGAATTTGTAATTTATAAATGAATGTTATTATAAAGAATTTTTATTCATATACCGATGTTGTTAATTAAGTTGACTTAATTTTTTTTTATATTTATGAATTTAAAATTTATTTTAAATTTTTTATGATTTCGCTAATTTTATTTTATATTGAATGGTTTAGAGAGGATCCAGAGCTACTAAATATATATAAACAAAGTAAATTTTTGCAAGCATTCAATCCACGGTAATTACCCATTTAAAGCACATAGTGTTTTTTAAACGGACTTGGGACAAATGAGTTTTGGCATGGTTTTTCAAAAACAACTTTAAATTTAGTTTGGTGCATGTATGAGTTTTCAAATTGTAAATAGATTTAGTATCCATTCCACTTTCATCTCTAATCGGTTTATTTATAAACCATCCCAAATTGTTTAACTTAAATTAAAATAAATTGACATCGTGATTTTTAAAATTAATGATTTAGTTTGGTTTGGTTTAGTTTATAAATTTTCACAATCATCAACCGAATCAAACCTTGGCAGAGGGTCATGGTATAATTTTCACCCCAATTAACTTGAACATTATAAGAGGATCCTTTGCTTCTTCTTCTTCTTCTTCCTCTTTTTCTTATAACTGAATTCTCATTATACATTAAAAATAAGCGTTGATCAACTGCAACCATAATACCTTTCAACTAATTTTCAAACATTACTCCTAGGTTGCTAGGCACTAATCCATTGCCATTATCGTTCTATCGGTTCAATCTCCAGCAGCAAGCCTCGCCGGAATTCAACATAAGGGTAAGCCACCGGAAAGTCGTCTGCTTTTATCTTCCACCTATTGCAAAAGAAAAAATCATGTATATGATTATGTAGGCCAGGTTTAATTTTATGGCCTCCGACATTATCTAATAACCCATTACAACTTCTTAGGATTATGGAAATAAATTATTAATTATCCTTAGCAAAAGATTTAATAAAGTAAGATAAAATTAAACGTTACAATTATTTAGGTTCCTAAGTGGGATGCAGTCTGTTTATGGGATTAACCCAACAACTAAACATATGTAATCCATACATCTAATGATATATTATAGGGGCTAGCTGCTGAAAATTTTACCTATAACTCAGGACAAGATGATGAAGAAAAAATGCTATCTCCACTTTAGCTAGCTCAGCCCCTGGACATAGCCGGGTTCCACCACCAAACGGCATCACTTTTTTGCTCGTCGCTTTATCCTGTAATAGAATATCAATATATAAGGGTTTCAAAAGAAAAGAACACATCAGGTGTGGTCTGATCCAAGTTTTTAAAAAGTATCAAAGAATATTATAAATGAAGGTGGAGTTGAGTATGCTTACAGTCCATCTCCATGGATCAAATTCGAAAGGGTTTTGATGGAGTGATGAATCTAAATGTGTTCCTGTAAGCACAGGTAAAACTTTCCATCCTGAAGGAATTACATATTCTGCAGCAAAAAATGACAAACAATTGATCAAAATATATGGGAGCTAATTAATAATATTTTAATTAAAATAAAAAATGAAAATTATTAATTTAAATTAACCTTTGTATTTGACGTCTTGAAGAGCTTTGCGATGAACAAACTTGACAACATTCCCACATCTCATAGCTTCCGATATAACCTGCCAGTTTCAAGAATTTGTAATTTCATACCCTTAAGGAAGTATAAATAATGATAAATAAAAATTAATTATAGTAAGTTCCATGAGATTTCATGTGTATGTATAGAGAGAGAGAGCTTTTGTACATACTAAATTTGCTCCTTTGGTCTAGTCAAAAGTATATCATTCACTCTAAGACTTAGAGATTCACAAATAAGAATGTATATACGGGGTATTAATGTTATATTATGTGATTAGAGCTAATTTTGGAATCTAAACTCTAAAGCAGATACTTTTCTATATTTATAGATCTTTAACTAGTAAGATCTTTTCAAATGACTATTGAGATGAATTTAATATCCTCAAACGGTGAAGATGGCATGAAACCTTTCTCCTTCAATTAGAGGTTTAAGTCCGACTATAGATATGAAGTCTATTTTTAAAGATTTGGAAGTGAGCACTTTGCGCTTCTTAGATTTGATCGGCACAAATCCAGATTAGTCAGTCCAGAGTTTCAGATAATATTATTACGTATTTCAAAGAGAAGGGAAAAAATATATATTACATTTTGGGTGAACTCCATTTTCTGGTAATCTTCCCAATCCAAAAATTGACCATCCTCTTTTGTTTTTCTTATTGTCTCATGTTCTTTCTGTATCAAAAGAAAAAAAAAAAAAAAACCATTTCTTTTTGTTTTTCTTATCTGTCCTCAATGTTCTTTCTGTATCAAAAGAAAAAAAAAAAAAAAAAAAAAATTCTGTATCAAAAAAAAAAAAAAAAAAAAACCGTTAAGACAAAATCCTTTTGGCAGATATATATATATATATATATATTAAAAAAATGAAGGTGAGGAATAATTTAAAAAAGAAAGGAACAGAAAAGAACAGAAAAGAAAGGGAAAGACCTTCAAGCGTTGAAAAGCTGCTGGTGCATGTCCAAGAAAGTAAACAATTAAAGAAATAAGTGTTGAGGTTGTCTCATAGCCTCCAAGCAATATGTCCAATACAATGCTTACAATCTCTTCATCCTTTAGTTTTCTGTTAGATAAAATTACATCCAAGAAATCTCCTTTTTCTGACTTCATTACGTTTTCCTTTTCCCTTTCTTTTATAATCTCTTTCACAGTGGATGAGAGTCTTGCTCTTGCCTAAAACCCATACTCATAACAAGAAAATTATTAAACTTAATTAGAAACAAAATTATGTGGCTTAATTAGAAATTAATTAATAATTAATACCTTCACTGCTTTGGTATAAGGAGATCCAGGAAAGTCTAATGGCAAAGAAATGAAACCTTTCATGTAAGTTCGAAAATTGTCTAATATCTCCAACGCTAATGGCTCTTCTGGTTCAATGCTCAAAAGATTTTTCACCATGAGGTTTAGTGTAAACTGTGGTAATTAAAAAACAATAATTAGAGGAAGTAATTATAATTACTTTCACTAAATTAACTAATTAACTTTACCTGTCGAACTTCTTTATGAAAGGATATTTCTTTACTTTCTTTCCACGACTCCATCATTGAGATTGTAAGATCTTCTATGCAATGAAGAAAGCCAGGAGCTGACTTAGACAAACTGATGAAGCTAACAACGACACTCCTCAGCTTCTTGTGGAGGTCGCCGGTGACGAGAAGTAATGAGAACTTTCCAAGAATGCCATGCATGGCGGTAGGGTAACTGGCTTGGAATAACTTCTCTTCATTATGAAGGATAAACATGTTGAGTTCATGGTCACAAGAAACTATAGTAGGAGAACCAAATAAATGTGATTTGAAAACCTTCCCATACCTGCATAAAATAGCAAATATTGAAACTAAATCACCCAAATGAAAGCTAAGCAAGACTATTTACTAATGAATAATATATATATTGAAATAATTAGTATATAGTTATATATATATACTATATTATTACTATATATGCTCTATATATGAACTTAGCTAGAGCATGGTCTTGCAAGAGCCTTGCCATGGAGTCTTGATTTCTATCGGGCATGTATATATATTGAAATTACCTAGAGCAATGGTCTTGCAAGAAGCTGCCCATGGAGTTTGATCTATGGGGCTTGAGATAGGCAAGAGTCTCCCCACAAAGGGGCCATCCCATGCTTCCATTTGGTAAATTTTTAGGGTCTTTTCTTGTGAAAGAATTTGCAATTAGAAAAGAGGCCAAAGCTATTGCTAAAATGAGAGAGAATAATATGAAGAGGAAAAACTCTAACATGGTTGGTTGCTATAGCTATCTTAGCTTTCTATAAGGATTGGACAAGTTTTTGGTCTCCACTGATCATTTGTTTGTCTCTGCCCTTGCAAATTTATAATTCCTAAAACAAAATCTAAGTGTATATATAGCATTTAATTAATTATTTTGCCTATTTTATTATTTTGGGTTTTTAAAGCAAAAGTAAAATAATATTATTATTTTTTGGATTCTAACTTTAATGATTGTCTCTAAAGGATGCAATAGAGAAAGCAACTTCCCTTTTCTTTTACTGTTCAGGGCCTACGTATTGAAAATGCTACAAATAATTTTTTTATTCTATTAGGATTATGTAGTGTCAAAAATTAATTAATAAATTGAAATGGTAATTAAAATTGACTTGTAGCCTTCAATTATATATTTGATTTGAGTGTCGGATAATAGTTCATGGATTGAACTTGCATAGATCACATAGATCAAGTTTATAGATTCACTCATGTATTAACTAGTAAAAATATAGATTTTTTAATATTTTTTAAGTATACCATAAAAAATATGCTCATTTCAATAAAAATTTATTTTTTAATTATTTAATCTCATGCTCTACCGTTCATGTTGCCTTTCAATTCCTCAAATTTAAATATATTTTACAACAATGCTAAAATAGCTCAATTTTGAATCGGTCAAATCCACTGTGACCATTTAGAATATTCAACTTCCTAAAAATTTGAGGGAAAAATAGGAAAGTGAATTAAAATGTCAAGTTGATTATCTCTCTTCTAACTTAGATATCTACCTAACAAGGTAAGAATTAAATATTGTCCCAATTTCTTTAGAATCAAAATCTATTTATTTTGAAATATTTCGGTAAAGTATTCTCTGCCTTGGTCATCAAAATGGTGCCTTTTGTGGAAAGATATTGTATTTTTTTTCTCTTTTATTTTCTATTTTTATAATATGAAGTGAAAAGTAAAAAACAAAGGATTTTTAATTTTTGGGCAATTTTTACTTGTTTTATCAACTTTTTATATTAATAATTTATCTTTCTTCTATTGTTGTTAAATTGGTACATGAAATATGCATATTTTGCCATTATGATATGCTTGCTTTTCCATATATATATATATATACATATATATATTAATTCAAAATAAATTGGAAATCATAAAAATAAAAGCAAGATAAAAAAATGAATTGTTCAAACAACTACAATATTATAATTGACATGGATTTTTGATAAGGAAAAGTAGAATATTTATTATAATTAACAACTTTATTAATTTAGGAAAAGTTTATGAATATTTTCAATTGGGAATATTTTATATAATTGTCTTACAAAGGATTTTTCATATGCAAAGTAGAAAATTATTATAAGATCTTTATTAATTCACAATTTAATTAGGAAGTTATTTATTTAAAATATTATATATTTTCTTATTTCTAGAATATATATAATTTCTTATATAGTAATTAAGATTTTTATTTCCTAATTAAACTGTCTCAGCTTCCTTTCCTAATAGAGATAAGCATGATTTAGGAAACTGACAGTCAGAGTTTCTCATAAAATTTCACTATTTTTTTCTATAGTATAAGCTATATATACCCTATATGCATTTATGACATAAATTTTATCATCTTTATTCAAAGATCAACTGCCAGTTCAAAACTAAATTAACATGCTAAAAAGTATTTGAAATGTCCACAATTTATCTATAGATTAACAAAAATATCATTGAATATTTTAATTTTATTGGTTGAAAAATAAGCTAAATTAATTTTGATTGGTCATATTAATTTTCTATTTAAATCTAATTCTTATTGGATTAAATAAGAGATTATACCATATATGGTATATATTAAATATGGTAAGATTTTAAATATATATATAGTTAGAATATAATATCTTTAAGGATTTTAATTTATTATTAAAAAATAAAAGTAACTTAATTTTGATTGGTTATATTAATTTTTTATTTAAATCTAAATGTTAGATATAATATCTTTAAGGATTTTAATTTATTTATTAAAAAAATGTAAAGCTAACTTTCTATTTTTGAGTTGGTTATATTATTTTTATTTTGATTGGTTATATTAATTTTTTATTTAAATCTAAATTCTATTGGATAAAATAATAAATTGTATTATATACTTAATAAAGTATAAATTATATACTTATTCAATTTTAATTGATTAATATTATAGATACGTAGTAAATTCGTTAAAAATATAATATTCTTAATTATTATTTTTTAATAAATCTTTAATTTAATTGATTATAATTATTTTTTACAAATAACTTTTTCTACAAAGAATAAATGTAATTTATTATCATTTATTAAGAAATATATTATAAGATTTATAGTTTGATATAAAATATAAAATAATAGTCTGTTTGGAATAAATGAATTCCCTAAAATTTTATAGAATTCATTTGGAAATCTAAAGTTTTGTATTTGGAATGAGAAAAAAAAATACATATTTGAATTCTACGAATTGAATTCCATTGAAATTGGGTGCGCCTAACTAATTCTATTAAAATTAATGAAATTTCCAAATGAATTTGATAAAATTAAACCATTGAAATTTTTATTAACAAAATTTCTCTCCACTACAAACTCAATTGGTTTTACTCTTCTATTTTTTTGAAAAATTCCTACTTATTTTTTTTTAATCCGGTAATCACTCACTTTATATTTTTAATTTTTTTCCTTTTTTTTTGGAAAATTCCTAGTAATGTTTTTTTAAATCTGGAAATAACTAATTTTATATTTTTACTTTTTTTCTTTTTATTTTTTTTTTGGAAAATTCCTATAATGTTTTTTTTTTTGAAATCTGGTAATAACTAAGTTTATACTTTACTTTTTTTTCTTTTTATTTTTTATTTTTGAAAATTCTAAACGATTAATAATGTTACTTCCTCCGTCCTCCGTCTCGAAAAGATAGATCATCTTTCCTTTTTGATTTGTCCTAAAATACAGTCCACTTTCCTTTGTTACATTGTACTTAATCCTTGAATTGTCTACTATATCTTATTAAATTACCTTATTTTCAATAACATTTATTAATTAGTTATTATTTCAATACTCATGTGTTATTTAAGATAGTCAGAATAGAAAAGTTATATGAATAAAATTGTCCTTTGACCATATTTCTTAATCTATTTGAAAATAAAAAGTGGACTATCTTTTTAGGGCGGAGGTAATAGTTTTTTTTAGTCTAGTAATAATATTATAAAACTATAAAAAGTGACTATCAACTATTGTTTCCAAATGCAATTGAAAACAGTAATAACCTTTTTAAATATTTTTATAGTTTCCAAATTAAATACTTAAATCAATAAGGAACAATTAAAATAATTATTAAGATGAATGTTAAACTTATATAATTAATTAATTAATTAATTAAAAATGAATTATTATATTATATACAATAAATATAATTAGTGTTTATTATTTATTTTTATTAAATTATTATATGAAGGGTATTATAAGAAATAAAGACAAATGAATTTTTATTTAAGAATTAAGACAAATGATTTATTTAAGAATTTTTCCATTATAATTTTATAGAATTCGATTTGAATTTCATTATTTTAATTACGATCATATAAGAACATGAGAAATTCGATTGTATATTATGAATTCTAACATTCATGATTCATTTGTTCAAACATAATAAAGAAATCACTAGGATATTTTTAAGAATATAAACTATGATAACACGTTATATTAACTAAAGCCATATCGTACGTTGAAGAATTCTTCTTTTTTCCAAAAAAATAAGTAACCATAAGTTAATTATATTTACTCATTACTTTGGCTTATTATTTATTTTTATTAAATTATTATATGAAGGGTATTATAAGAAATAAAGACAAATGAATTTTTATTTAAGAATTTATTCCAATTATAATTTTATAGAATTCAATTGAATTTCATATTTTAAATTACGACATATAAAACATGAGAAATTCATTTATATATGAATTCTACATTCATGATTCATTTGTTCCAAACATAATATAAAACTCACTAGAAATATATTTAAAATATAAAACTATGATATAACACGTTATATTAATAAACCATATCGTACGTTGAAAGAATTTTTTTTTTCAAAAAAAAGTAACCATAAGTTAATTATATACTCATATACTTTGGCAACAAGTAAAAAAAAAAAAAAAGAAATACCAAAATTATAAATGATGCTCCAAACAATTATTAATATATTAATTATTATAATAGTTAATACTGGTTTCTCATATTTTTAGTAATACTTTTTTCTATGACATGCATTGCATGTTATTATTGCTCATTTTTATACTTTATTTTGTATAATATTAAGTATTAATTATTTTATTTTTCAAAATTTTTATAATGTCAATGCAAGATTTCATATTGAGTTGATTTCGAAACTTAACTTATGTATTTTGAGTTTAGTTAAATGTTGTTGAATTCAGTTAATAATTCTATAAATAAATCGTGAATAAATATTCAAAGCTTTTGAAAGATAATTCTATATAAAAAGAAAAAAAAAATTTCCTTTTGGTCAAACTAAAAATTTAGATTAAAGTATGTAATCATCAAATAAGGAAATGGAGACTCACCTAACCCTTGCTTAGTCTTTTAGTCCTATCCCTCTCCCCCTCTTGTGTTGATAAGCTCTTTTAGAAAGATCATACATAAAGCCTAATTGTTTTGCTTTTCAATGTCAAACCATTTATCACTTTGTCCCTCTTTAATTGGGACATTCAATTTCTAATAATAATAATAATAATATTTCCAATCTTAAATGCCATTGGAGCACTCATTATATAAACACTAGCCGAAATACAAGTGAAATGTTTACACACACATTATAATAAAATGAAGATGGTTTCCTTAATGGTGAGCAAGCTCCAAACATACTTGGTGCAATTTCTTCCACTTTGGGAGCTTCAAGAGAACAATACTTTTGATTGGCTTTATGTGGGTTTATGATGTGGATGTTTGCTTCCCTAATCCGACCACAGCATTGCTGGCCCATAAGGTCTTCTTTTGGCTAAGGGCAGAATCATCATCACCTAACCAATCTTTAGGGCTTTTATAATAAGTAGACATTTAGAGAGATGATGATAGGATTTTGGTTAGAAATTTTTGTTATTTTTTACTTGGGTTTTAGTCGTTGTTGTTTATTTTATTAGCGTTTAACTGTTTGAGTAATTTTTTATAAAACGTTAATAGCTAAACGTAGCCGGAGTTGACTTCCTTTTATAAAACGTTATATTTACTTCTAAAACTCAGTTCAAACGCTGTGTTGCCAAATATTATAAAAAATGTTTAGATAAAATTAAATTCTTTTTTAGTTTTCAATATGAATGTCAAACATATTATAAATCGTTTTTAAATTAAACACATGACCCAACTAAAGGAAAAGAGGAGGCAAGAAAAGGAATTACTTTCATTTTTTTGGTCTCTCCTTCCCTTTATGAATTGAAGTGTGTGCATGGTGCACGTGCAATGGGCTAATAATTAGCAAGAGGGTTTTGATTTTGAACTTCTAGAATATTTATATATTATATGATTCTAAAATATATAATTAGCTGGATAACAGTAATTCATATTGCAATCATGATGTAGGGTTTGTATATTACTTATTCTCTTCTCCCTTCTTTCTTTTCAGCTTTGATCTTTTTCTTATAATTACAAATAAAACCATAAATCCATGAAAGAATGTCCATTACACAAAGAGAAATTGAACCTGAGACCTATTCCACTGCACTAAGACAAAAGATATATTGAGGATTATGGAACTGTAAGTGTCTCTTTCTCTGTCTAAGAGCATAATCATGAAGAAGACATTCTTTTAGAAATGTCATTTGTCTTCAATCTTGACGTTGATATAATACCTCATTGCACGTTTGTGCAGGGACAAATCATCATTATCTTGTCTTTTTATATCTTCTTTCCTTTTTTTTTTTTTTTCAAGCTTTAAATGATAGGACCGCTTAGCAGAAAATATTGAAAAAAAAAAAGAAAAAATGAGAAAAAAAAAGAGAAAGGTGACTCCCAAAATTCAAACATTTCAATAAGTATAGATGGGCCGAATTAGGAAATAAAGTTTGGGGCAAAATGAAATTTTTTTAAATTTTAGAAGGATAAGAATTTTGTTTTTTAAATATTTGAGGGATCAAAATGTGTACATGTATAAGTTTAGTCGAGCTTAGATTAGTTTATATAATAAGTTTAGTTTATTGGCCATGACTCTCTCAATTTAAGAAAAATTCAATTTGAATATCGGTCTCAATTTTAAAAAATAATGGCATACACATATAAAGGGAAATTTGAATTTAAAGTTCAATGTTTGTTTATACATGAATCTTTTTTATTTTTTTGGTATAATTATATATGATTCTTTTAATAAAATTTAAACCTTATATTCTCAAATTTAACTCACTTGAAATGAGAAAATTTTCAATTGTTAAATATATACATATATTATCTTGTTTATGAACAACAGTGAATTAATTACATAAAATCGATATTTTTCAATAGATTTTTTATTGTATATAATTTTCAATTTGGGCATTGTGTGCTACATAGTAGGGGACAATCCACTGGTGATAAATTTTGTGGTAAAAAGGACTTAAACTCGAGACACCTCACTCTTTGCATCTTATCGAAATTTCAATTTGTAAAGTTAGATTATTAAACACTTAATAGTCGATTAAATAAAATGCAAAAATTATTATTTTAAAATTATGTTAACCGCATATCCAAAACAATATTTTGCATATAAAAATAAAAACTTTAAAAACTATTATTTTTAGTATGAAAAAAATATGCAATGTTAGTAAAATTTATAACTTTAGATGCACAATAGGTCTTTTCTAAAATTAAGGGTACCACAAAATTAAAATAATAAAGATGAGGGGTGATTTATGTATATAGCCATTCTTAAACTTTTTACATGTGAAAATCCATTTAGATGCATGGGCTTGTAATTTGCAGATCCATCTAATGGTGGACAAAACGAATTGTATTTCCAAATTTGAGCCCATGAAAGAGTTCAAGCCTACCTGATCTTCAAGTACTTATTGCAAGTTATAATATTATCCATCCATTTTCAGATAGAAAAAAAGAAAATCAATCTTCTAGGTCAAGAAATTGAAAACCAATGCTAGCCATACAGCCAAGGGCAAGGACCAAGCCATGGCTGCATCCACCAACTACAAAGAAACACAACAATTCTTTTCTATTCAAAACCAAAATTCTTCCACTGAAAGTTTCAAACACTTCAAATGAAAACAAAGAAACACAAGAATCAGCAGCAGGCAACATTAAGAGACTTGTTCTTCCCCAGGAAGGTAGAGTCAAACTAAACACATACCCAGATAGAGATTTCTATTCCTATCCAAGATTTGTGACCCATGTTGATGATAATTTCATTTCAACATTGACCAATCTCTACAGAGAAAAGTTGAGAGCTAGTTCAGAGATTCTTGATCTCATGAGTTCTTGGGTTAGCCATTTGCCTAAAGAAGTTGTATATAAAAGAGTGGTTGGGCATGGGCTTAATGCACAAGAACTTGCCAAGAATCCAAGATTGGATTATTTTTTTGTCAAGGATTTAAATCAGGATCAGAAATTGGAATTTGAGAATGGGAGTTTTGATGCAGTGGTTTGTACTGTTAGTGTGCAGTATCTTCAGCAGCCAGAGAAGGTTAGTCTTTTAGTTTTTTTTTTCGGTTATTTTGGGGTCTTTAAATTAGTCTCAAATCATTGGATGGGCAAAGCCCAACTTGACCAGGTTTTATCCAACTGAATTTTTAAAATAATTATACGAATTTGACCGAATTGAATCGATTTGGTTCAGTTTACGGTTAAAAACCGACACAAGGTGTCATAAATTTAGATCAATATAGGTGTTGAATAGGTCATGCCACAAATTTTTTTCAATTTAATTTGATTTCTAAACACTAATTGCGTTGATTTTTGTTCCAAAAAATTTTAATTTATTTGATTTATTTGGGTTTAGCTCTGTTTAAAATCAACTGATCGAATGTTCATCCTAATTTTTTTTTTTCTGAAATATAGGTATTTGCAGAGGTGTTTAGAGTGCTAAAGCCTGGAGGGATGTTTATAGTAAGCTTTAGCAATCGAATGTTTTATGAGAAAGCCATTGGAGCCTGGAGAGATGGGAGTGCATACAGTAGAGTACAATTAGTTGTGCAATACTTCCAGTGTGTACAAGGATTCACTCAACCGGAGATTATTCGAAAACTACCGCCGGCTACCGGAGATTCTGAAGCCGATGAATCACCTTTCAAATGGTTCATGAGGTTGTTAGGGTTGTTGTCTGGATCAGACCCGTTTTATGCTGTAATAGCTTACAAGAACTTCAAACCTGTATATGAATCGCGTTCTTGAATTTTACCAAATACGAAGGATAAAACTTGCCTGAAATAGTTGCTCTGATTTTTACCCAAATCCATGAGCTGTAACTAAAATTATAAAAGTGAAATTTTAACCATTTAAAGAGTGGAGTAAGTGGTTAAAGAAAAATGACTTTTTTTTTTTTTTTTTTAATTTGTGGTTTAAAGAAAAATGACTTTTTTTTTTTTTTTTAGTTTATGGGTTCAGATTTCTAAAATCATAAATTTTTTTCTTCTCAAAAGTTATAATAAATTAAAATATAAGTCCAAAATTATGTTTAATAATCGAAATTATTCTTTAAAATTTTTTTTTTTTTTTTTTAGTTTATGGGTTCAAATTTTAAAATTCATAATTTTTTTCTCCTCCAAAAGTTATAATAAATAAATATAAGTCCAAAAATTATGTTTAAATAATCGAAATTATTCTTTAAAAATCTACTTTAATATAATTCTAATTTTAAAATAGTTATCATATAATCAACATTTATTTAGTTAATTAAGTTAAATATTTAATAAATAATATAAAATTATAATTTAATTCAAAAAGTGTCAAAATAAATTGTAATACACAAATAGTGTTATATTTCATATAGATGAAGAATGATTTGAGAATTATTATAATATTTAAATATAGCTTTTTTTTGAAAGGAAAATTGTTACAACTTATATTAAGATATTTTTATTATTATATTGAATTAACATTATATAACTTGCAAATTTACATATTTATAATTAAATCATTACTTTTTTTATTATAAAATTACGGATTTGAATGGATCCAGTTTGATTGTTTAAATACTGGACTTAATGCTATTAATTAAAGTTTATGATTAAATAAGTTCTTAATGTCACTAAAAGTAATAGTAGAAGAGCTTCATATGGACAAATAAAATTTTGAAGTCTCAATAGCTAAAAGTTGTAAAGTTGAGGGACTAATTGTAACTGTGTTTTGCCTTTTTACAAAAATTGATATGATAAATCTACTATGATGTACAACAGTTAACTCATGCTACATTTATATATGATTTTATATTAATAAACGACCCTAATCCTTGTTTAACAGATTAATATTAGGTGGTATGTATATATTATGTTTATTATTTATATGCAAAGCCAAGAAAGTTATTAGAAATATGAAGATATTCCTCTTGCAAAGCCCAAAAAAAAAAAAAGAAAAAAGAAGAAGCAAAGAACAAGTTAAAATAGAAGTGATACTTTTATTGTCTCTTTCTTTTCACTTTCTTGGATTCTCAATTATTATGAGCAAGAAACAAAACTATCAAGCAAAGAAGCAAATAGGATTTTAAAGCTGAAACATTAATTTGATGGGTACAAATCAATATGGTCCTTTAGATTGGTCGAGGAGATTGAAATTTTATGTCTGCTGAAAACTACTGGTGCAGATTTGTGGGCCTGAAAGATAAAGATAAAAGATGAATATGTTGTGAAGCGTTTGGTGTACTAAAACGTCATTGGAAGCAAAGAAGATTCAAACTATATTTGTATCTTATAGCTTTATTCCATTTCTGATGAGTATATAAAGGCCATGCAAATTATCAAGAAGAACATATTAAGCCTTCTCTTCTATATTCAAAACCATATTGTTGCATTGTAAGCTTGTGTTTAAGCTCAGAAATGGCTCTTAAGCAATTAACAGGCGGCGTGCATCAACTAGGCAAAGGTGAAAGGCTATTGTTTTCAAGTTCTGATGATAATGCAATGACTAAGCAAATTCAGGGAACTCATTCTCCTGATGGTCGGGAATTTGAGGTCAAACCTCTTCTTCATATCGTTGAAGACATCTTCAATCGCGCTGCCCCCACTATCGATGCCCTTGCTATTGCTGCTCCGGTAATGGTCTCATTAGTATATGTTTCTTGATTTCGAGTCTTTTTGGTGTCTAAAGTTAATGCGGTTGCCTTACTGTTTGGTTTAGTATCCAGAAAAATTCTATGTTCAAAAATTAGAAGGCTATGAAAATATTTCAAGGTGATGAATTTGGCATTTTCTAATCATCAAAGCACTGATGTTTTGGAATTTAATGTAATCTATTCAAATGAGTTTTTTATTCTAAACTTGCATTGCAAATTTATTTGATTACATTCCATTATAGTTTATCAAAAGTAGCATATATAAGAACTTCAAATTAATCATTCTATGCATCTTTTTAAAATTTGCAGCAACAAACACGTTCAGAAGCTTTGGACGACAGAACTTACCAAACGAGCTTCATTGCCACGCTTGAATCTTTGGCATTTGTCATTGATCGAGTCGCAACTGAGGTAACCTCTCTCTCTCTCTCTCTCTCTCTCTCTCTCTCTCTCTAAATATTATTTTCTCTCTCTCTCTCTCTCTCTCCTTCTCTCCTCTCCTCTCTCTCTCTCTCTAAATATTATTTTCTCTCTCTCTCTCTCTCTCTCTCTCTCTAAATATTATTTTCTTGCTTCTCATCACTAACTAGCTAGTTCTAATTGTATATATACAGATAGCATACAAATGCACAGGTGGTGCAGATGCACATGCAACTACTATGTCACTATTAAACATGCTATCCAACTATTCATGGGAAGCCAAGTTGGTGATAGCATTAGCTGCTTTTGCAATGAACTATGGAGAGTTTTGGTTGGTTGCACAGTGCTACACCTCAAACCAGCTTGCGAAATCTGTTGCAATTCTGAAACAATTGCCTGACATGTTAGAACATTCAAGCATGCTTAAACCTCGATTTGATGCGATCAAAAACCTCATCAAAGTCATGGTAGATATTGCCAAATGCATTGTTGAGTTCAAGGAGCTTCCTCCTCATTACATTTCTTTAGATATCCCTGCAATGTCCACTGCAATGGCCCATATTCCTATTACTGTCTACTGGACAATGAGAAGTATTGTGGCTTGTGCATCCCAGATTACTGGCCTTATTGGTTTGGGGCATGAGTATGTGTTCCGTCCCTGCGATTTACTTTCCTCTGGTGGTTTCATATTATGTATTACAGTGCACCCGACACACGAAATTCTAGGAATCCACCTGAACATCACATAAACATAGGTGTAATTTAATCGTTGCTGTTGATGTAGGCACGTAGTGTCAACTACAGAGGCCTGGGAGCTATCAAGCTTGGCTCACAAGCTCAGTAACATGCATAGTCACCTAGCAACTCAACTAGCGATATGCTATAAGCACATTGGTGAGTTTTTGAAGTTAATTAATTACAATATTCACAAATTTATATATGCGGATTAATTACCAATGGTTGATGAATATATACATACAACTGGTAAAATCATCCATCTATATAATATATATGCAGATGAAAAGAAACATCTGGAAACTTATCAGAACCTCTTACATTTGTTCGAGATGGCCCATATTGACAACATGAAAGTTCTCAGAGCTTTGATTTATACTAAGGATGATCTACAGCCGCTTGTTGAAGGAACCACAAAGAGGAGGGTATATATCTAATATATAAACTATATGTATTATATGTATATTTTATTATTCTGATAGCTCTTGCGGATATCAAACTAGTTAGTCACTAATTAACTTAGGAAGTAATATCAATTGTGGCATAGTTCTAAATTTCTTGTGCATATTCTTTGTGACAAAAAAAAAAAAAAAAAAACATAGTTCTAAATTTCTTTGCTGCATATTCTTTGTGACAAAAAAAAAAAAAAAAAAAAACCAGGGGTCAACATGATGGTCCTGAGAAGGAAAAAAAAAAAAAAAAAAAAAAAACCAGGTCAACATTGATGTCCTGAGAAGGAAAAATGTGCTTCTGCTCATATCAGACCTTGAGATTTTGCAAGAAGAGATTGCCATTCTTGAACAAATATACAATGAGTCCCGGCTTCATCCAACAAGGCAGGAGAGTCAATATGAGATTGTGTGGCTTCCAATTATAGACCCAGCTGTCCCTTGGAATGATAATATGCAAAGTCGATTCGAGACATTGCAGGCTGGTATGACTTGGTATTCTATACACCACCCTTCCTTGATTGACAGGGCAGTGATAAAGTTTGTTAAACAAGCGTGGCATTTTGAGAAGAAGCCTATACTTGTGGTGCTTGATCCACAAGGAAGGGTCGCTTGCCCTAATGCACTCCATATGATGTGGATTTGGGGCAGTCTAGCCTTCCCTTTCACCACTTTAAGGGAGGAAGCTCTTTGGAAGGAAGAAAGTTGGAGACTTGAGCTCTTGGTGGATGGCATTGATCCAATGGTTCTCAATTGGGTAATATTATTTTGCTGGTTAACCGATTAATAATTAAGGTTTATCGGTTAATTACTACTAAATAATCAATAATCTAATGTCTATTTTACTTTTATTTCCGATAGATGCAAGAAGGAAGATACATATGCTTATATGGAGGAGAAGACATGGAATGGATTCGAAAATTTACAAACACAGCAAGAGCTGTTGCACAATCTGCAGGTATTCCATTGGGAATGGTTTACGTAGGAAAAAGCAATCCAAAAGAAAGAGTTCGAAGAAACATTGCAACAATCATCGTGGAAAAGCTCAGCCATTACTGGCAAGACTTAACTTCAATTTGGTACTTTTGGGTTAGAATTGAAAGCATGTGGAGATCAAAGAATCAATTAGGAAGAACACCTGAAAATGACCCAATAATGAAAGAGATCATGACTATGCTTAGCTTTGATGGCAGCGATGGCGGATGGGCTATTTTCACTAGAGGCTCTGATGAAATTGTTAGAGCTAAAGGAAATATATTTTTGACTTGCTTGGCAAATTACAGTGCTTGGAAAGATCAAATACAGCAAAAGGGTTTTATGCCAACGCTTAAAGAACAACTCTACCTTTCTGCACCTGAACATCATTGTAACCGCCTTGTGCTTCCCGGTGCTGCTGGAATGATACCGGAAAGAATTGTTTGCTCGGATTGTGGCCGGAGCATGGAAAAGTTTATCATGTATAGGTGCTGCGATGAGTAAGCAAAAGCAATGAGCAATGGCTATAAATTATAATCAGTTTTTATGAATTGATGCAGAGATAAATAAGTTGCTTGCAGCTGAGAATGATGAGATTGCTTTCACAAGGATGGAAATTTTTACTATGTAATGGATTTGCATTACTTTATAATTTCTTTTGTTGTTATAATATGCAGTGTTGTGTGTTAATTATGAAACTACTACTTATTTCAATAAAGTCTTTTTCCTCTTAAAATTCTTATTGCCTTGATCTTTTTTTTTTTTTTTTTTTTTTTTTTTTTCTTAAAATTCTTATTTGCCTTGAATACTTTTTTTTTTTTTTTTTTTTTTTTTTTTTTTTTTTTTTGATAAGCTAGATAAATTATATTAGAGAAGAAAACAACATGTCTTTTTGGTGAATATACTCAACTGATGTGATGATAATATATGAAATAAAAATAACATAGATGTTTTGTTATTGTTGGATAAATTGACCCAAAAAAAATAAGACAAGACTTGTCTATACTTAGCTAGAGTTTTTTTTTTTTTTAAATGTTACTATTTTATTTTTTTTCTTAGTGTATAGTGAAAAATATCATCGTTTGGACCAAAAGAATGTTTGTAATTGTTTGTGTATAGGTAGGCTCATATAATGAGTGTGTAGGTATAGATAAATGTATTTCAATATCTATTTTTAATTGAGAATTTTACTTTATTTGTTTTTATATAATAGAATGTAATACTATGGGGATATTCCAGCAATAAAATTAAATTTTTTAGAAAATTGATAAAAGTTTAAGCTTGATGTTTGTTTTTTTCTGAGCAAAATATAATTTCCAGCAATATTACACGTGTGGAGGTTTTTTTTTTTTTTTTTTTTTTTTTTTTTTTTTTTTTTTTTTTTTTTTTGGTGGAAAAGTACCGGAATCCAAAATCCTATTACGAGGGATCATCTAATTTTTTTTTTTTTTTTTTTTTTTTTTTTGGTGTAAAATACCGGAATCCAAATCCTATTACGAGGGATCATCTAATTCGGCTTGGGGCTTAGTCATAAGTGTGTTTAGTGGGGATCAAACTCGAGAGCTCTTCCCACGTGTCCAGCCTGCGTTGCCAACTGAGCCGCAATCCATAGGTGATGGAGGTTTTTTCTTTAAAAATGCATATGTATATGTTAACAGATTAATTAATTAACTTAACCCTTTTTTGATAGAATATTCACATTGACTATAAATATTTAGGGGCCATGCAAGTGTGAAAATAACCATTATTTATATCACAAATTGTTACCATATGAAGATCCTTTGCAAAGCCAAAAAAAGAAGGAAGACAAAGAACAAAGTAGAAGTGATACTTTGCTCTCTCTTTTCACTGTCTTAGATTCTCAATTGTTATCAGAAAACGAAACAAAAGAAGACTGCAAATATCATTTTAAAGCGGATTAGCCTAAACATTTGATGGGTACTTTCTTTGATCGGTCTAATACTACATAAAGAAGATTGAAAATTTTATGTCTAATGAAAACCACTGCTGCCGATTTGTGGGCCTGACCTGAAAGATAAAGATAAAAGATGAATATGTTTGGTGCACTGAAATTTCATTGGAAGCAAAGAAGATTCAAACTATATATATAATGTGTATGCTATATACCAACCAGGGTGCTAGCTTATGTAAGTTGAATCGAATGTTTTCTAGGTTTTTTTCTTAGTATTTACGAGTTACCTGATAGTTCGAGTTTAGAAACTTTGCAATGCTAAGTTTTTCTGGATATAAATTTATAAAATATTTTTTTAAGTACTGGAGAAAGAGATTCAAACATGGATCTATTATTAGGTCGTAATGCACTTACTACTAGACTATATGCTTCGGTGTGTATAAAATAATTATATATTGCTGATTGAAAAAATGTATATGCTATATCTTTTTTCCATTTCTTATAAAGACCATGCATTTATCAAGAAGGGCACGTTAAGCCTTCTCTGCTACATCTAAAACCATTGTTGCCTTGTAATCTTGTGTTTGAGCTCAAAATTGAATGACTCTTGAGCAATTATCAGGCAGCATGCAGCGCTAATTGCAAAGGTCAAAGGATATTATTCTTAAGTTCTAATGATAATGTGACTAAGCAAATTCAGGAAATTCATTCTCCTGATGGTCGTGAATTTGATGTCAAAAGAGTTCTTTATGTCGTTGAAGACAATTAATTGCGATGTTGATGCGTTTGCTGCACCGGAAATGGCTTAATTACTATATAGTTTTTTATAGACCCAGTTAAAACCGGGCATGTCCACTGGCATTTTGAACCGGAAATGAATTATACTGTAGATGAATCAGAACTGAACTGGAACCGTCGATTTAAAGTTTTGAACCGGAACCGACGGTTCAAGGGCAGGTTAAAGTTCATGTGAATGTTAAAATCTGAACCTTAACCAGCCTAGAATTAGCGATTAACCGGCGGTTCTGGGTCAGTTTGAACCGAAAATTGTGTACTTTTATTTTAAAAATAATAATCACTTAGTCTATTTTATACGTTTCTAAAAGTCTCAATAATATTTTACTAAATGATATACTTTACTTAAGATTTTTTTTAAAAAACACCATACTTTAAAATTTAAAAATCTAAAAAGTAAAATGGTAAAAAAAGAGAGAAATATTTAGTCTAAACTTATATTATTTTTAACTTTTTTATCTAAAAAGTAAAATGGTAAAAAAAGAGAGAAATATTCGGTCTAAAATTATATTGTTTTTAACCTTTTTTTTACCCTTTTTAAAATTGTTTACTAAGTTTAAAATTAATTCTTTTGAAGCATTTTTCAAAATTTTTTTACAATTTATTTAATTAATAACATTTAAACAAGATAAAGTGATAACTTATTTGATTATTTTGTAAAATTAATTAATTTTATTCTTATATGAGTATCAGCATTCTAAAATTTATTTAAAATAAAAGTTACCAATATTTTTTAAACTCATATTAATATTTTCAAAAGAAAAATGTAACGTTAGAATTAATTTTTTTTTTTTAATAAAAAAACATATATCGCCGGAAACCGTGAGTTAAAATTTAATTAATTTTTTATTTCTTATAATGATAAATTAATTAATTTTATTCTTATATGAGTATGAGCATTCTAAAATTTATTTAAAATAAAATTTATCAATATTTTTTAAACTTATATTAATATTTTCGAAAGAAAGATGTAACATTAGAATGTTTTTTTTTTAAAAAAATATATCGCCGAAAACCGTGATCGGAATTATAAGTTCATCTGAATCGCATTGGAACCAGAACCGGCCCGAAATTGGCAGTTCAAAGTCCGATTCAGGTTCAACATTTTAAAAATTTTTAACCGTCGATTCTATGAATTGGAACCGAAGGTTCAATGACCAGTTTATACAAATCTATGCCTAATTGTGTGATTATGTTCTGTTTTTATTTTTTACAACTCGCAAAAAGTGATAACAGATTTTCCAGTGAAATTTTATTTCATATATCACGAGGTTTTAGAAGGTTTTTTCACTTAACATTTCAAAGCTAGGATTTGGCTGTATGGGGAAGCCTGATGAATGGACTAGATTGCTTGAATTTATTAAGTTTTTGCTTACTTTTAATAATAAAATTAATTAATTTTGCTGATAAAAATATTTTTCTCGTAATAAAAAAGGAAAAAGTTAAAAGCTTTAATTATGAAATCCATCCTTTTAAATATTCTAAAGACAAAATGGAAAATAAAAAAAGAAAAGCATGAAACAAACTTATCCATAGAGAAGCAAAAATATATTTAGTTGGGGTACAAAGCATTTTACAGCTAGACATTTGAAGGATACGATTCAATATCATCCTTTGGATTATAAATTCATATTTATTTGATTTTAACACTCGCAAAAAAAAAAAAAAAAAAAAAAAAAAAAAAAAAAAACACCGCAAGAAAGATTAAAAAAAAAAAAAAAAAAAAAAAACACTCGCAAGAAAGATTAAATTTGTGGGGCAGAAGAGATAAAGTTAAAAAGATGAATGTTGTGATAAGCATAATGTTGCAAGCTTTTCCTAATAGTATCTTGTGCTAAAACTCGATTGAAAGCAAAGAAGCTGATTCAAAGTCCAATATATAAATGCACATATTAAACTTTGTTACATTTAACCATCGAGATCTTAACTTTTATTTTGACCTATCGAACATCTCAATTTACAAAATTAGATCAATTAAATGCGGATTAAATTATTAAAATATGTAAGAAAATTATTGTTTCAAAAGTTGTCTAACCACATGTTAAATCAGTATTTTATATATAAAAACTAAAAAGCCTAAAAATTGTGTTATTAGTATGAAAATAAGTGCAATAGTACCAAAATTCATAATTTTAAGACCATAACATTTCTCTCTCAAAGTTAAGGATGCCGTAAGATTAAAGTAACAAAATTAAGAATGAAAATATATGTATTTGGCCAGATTCAAACTATATTTGCACTTTATTCCTTTTTTTATTATAAAATTAAGTCTTCTACATAGTTGCTGTCATGAAAAATTGTAGTCTCCTCTTCTAGCATTAGCTAGCTCTTGTTTAATGAGCAAGAATGAGTTCCAAGCCAACCCCATCTGGATCTGGTAGGCAGCAGCAGAACATAAAAGTTGCTGATGATGATGAAGCCTTTAACAAGCAAATTAACGATACTCATACAGGTGATGGTTATCAGTTTTATGCCAAACTCAATCCTGATATTCTTCAAGTGGTCAAAGACATCTGTAATCCTCCTGAATCAAATGTGCCGGTATGCACTCTAATATATTTACATCCCTGCATATATATACATACATACACACACAAACACACATGCTAGATAATATGGAAAAAAAGAAACAATGGAATCTTAAAAATAATCATTTTAGCCATTTTACTAATAATTTTGCAGGTCATTGATGCAACAGATTCAGATGCTTTGCCTTATAAAACTTACCAAGCATTATATGAATATTTCGTTGATTTGGTCGATCCTATTGGTAGCAAGGTGACTTCGCTGTCTCTCCCTCTATATCATCATCAATACTAGGGGTATAAATGAGCGAGCCAGAACTCAGCTCGAAAAAAGTTGAAAAAGGTTCTGTTTGAAATTGAGTTTAAACCGACTCGTTAGTAAACGAGCCGAGCTCAAGCTTAAAATTTTTTCAAGTTAAATTTGAGCTGAGCTCGAGTCTGAAATTTCCAGGCTCATCGAGTTTTGAGCCTAGATTCGAGCCCGCAGGTTTGAGCTTAGCTCAGCTCATTTATAATTCTAATAATACTATTTGTATCATCGTTAATATCCAGACCTTATATATGTATATGTATGTATGTAGATGCACGAGGAATGCACAAAAGATGCAGATAATCATGCAATAACAATATCAATATTGAAAATATTATCTCGCTACTCATGGGATGTAAAGGTGGTGATTGCTCTATCAGCTTTTGCAATGAAACATAGAGAGTTTTGGCTTGTTGCCAATACTTTCAAATCAAATGACCTTGCAAAATCTGTTGCGTCGCTGAAACAATTGACTGACGTTTTTGAGAATTCAGATCAACACGCATTAACAGAGATGAAAAAGCTCATCAACGTAATGCTAAAAATTGCCAAATCCATTGTTGAGTTGAAGAAGGTTCCAGCTAAATACAATTCAGAAAATATCAGTACAGCACAGGCAAAAATACCAGCCGGCGTCTACTGGACAATCAGGAGTATCGTCGCGTGCTGGTCACTAATTAATGGTTTTACGGGGCATCGGTATGTAAATCCATGTCCTTAGTTTAATTTGCTGTTGCTGGTTTCTAAACTAAGATTATGAACGCATCTTGGATCATTTTAATTGTTTAGTTCATAATTAGCATGATATACTAAGACTTCTTTCAAAAAAAAAAAAAAAAAAAAAATCCACTCTGCGTACCACAAAAGTTAGTAATGAACAGAGAGAAAGATGATTCAAAAGTTAAAAAGAGTACTCTCCCCAGTAAAAGAATCAAAATCCATCCCAGAAATGTCCTTCCCACCCTAAGGCCCTCGTCCAAAACCAGCCATGAGGTCATCCCTCCAAAGATAATAGCTTAAAACAAAATATTTTCGAGCCTCACTATACGGGGCCATAAGATTTTGTTGTGTAGGTTAAGAAGGTTCAGGCTAAATGGTTACGAGATATATTGTTCAGAGAAAAATTTTAATAGCCACCCCATTCAGTTTACAATAGTCTTTAAGTCTACAGAATAGGCATATAGATAAAGATATTAATCTCCTTTTGTATCTCTCAGGCATTCTCCGGCATTTGTTAGCGTTATAATTCTTGATTTCTCAGAGTTCCTTGAATCTGACAACAGCACGCCGCTTGAATCTTAATATGATGACGATCAATCTGGTAGGAATGTTGGCGACTAGGAAAAAGAACATTACCAGCGTATAATACTCAACCTCCAAGCCACACCCAAGGCCCCCGTGTCCGTAACAAAAATAGCCAAATGTACATTGGTTCTAATCTCGTTGCTATAACGCGTAAGAGAAATTGCACAAATGCGGAGAGTCCGGTAAGGTGAGTGTAAAGAACCCTCCCCGGGATCTGATTTTGCCTAATATAAGCTACTGTGCAAATGTGTGTCCCACTAAGAGGGATTTATAGAGGCTGGGTTAATTGTCAAGTCCAGCTCACGCCCATTGATTTTAAAAATTTTCTATTTCTAAACTAAGATTATGAACGCAAAGGAAAATAAGAACTAAATCCCAAATAGCCAACGCCTTCTCCTCACTCCTCTAGTGCATTATAAAGTGGCTTTAGACTTCATAATTGCACGCGTGCCCATTGATACCGAGTACTTACCTAATACCAAAGGGAGATGCTGTCCTTTTTCACACAAACACCCACCAAAAAAAAAGATGCCATCCAATAGACCCAAAAAACACTTTCCAGACAAAAAGTTCTGGAGCTACGCCAACGACCAGTTCGCCTGATGCTGCAAGTTAATGCTATTTTCACGCCACATGCTTGACATTTTGTGAAATGGCTATGGTGTTCCATCACTATATGCAAACTACAAACAAGCCAGCAAATCCCCATCTTTCCTCATTATGGGCCCACAGCTCCCGAGGTGACCAGAAGATCTGTGTGCTTCAGGTGAGAGCAGTACCCTAAAAAACCGAAGGACTGACCCTATTTTGGAAAGAAGGAATAAAGTAGGTTAGGCGTATGTCGATCTAACCCAACATATATTTAGTCCCAATGAGAAGAAATCCAAGCCTAACAGGTCCATGATCTCCTATAAGGAGATTTTGCCAACAATAAGGGATTTTTCATGATTTTGTTAATCGAATATTGGAATCCAAAAGTTATAAAACCATGCTCCCAGTATTTCCCCTTCCAGAGAGAAGCTCAATATTTCTGATAAATTCAAGGAAAGGGGAAGCTTCGCCTCATTATTGGCTGGAATAATCTTCCGTCTGTTTTTATTGGCCAAAGCTCTAAAATATTTACTTGCCTAATAAATGATCCTTCCATTTCACCTGGTTTAGACCTTCAGCATCTAATAGATTAATAGTGCCTAAAGAATTTTCTATGGAGCCCATTCCTCCACATAAGCCGTGTGAATTTTCTAGTTTCAACCCTCCTAACCTCCTTATAGTCTTAGGTTTTTCTGGTATACATGTATATCCACCTCAAAAGATATGACTGGATATCCAAAAAAAATAAATGTAAAACCTTGCCAGTTTAAGAATTAATTTTTAATAATACTTAATGTGCCTCCAGAGATAGGTTAACACTCCTTATAACCTAAGGGCGATGTTGAACCAATGTAATTCTTTAAAATTTAATCGATTCCAATTATAAAGATTTAGAATTATGTATTTTTACATTCTCATTGTAATTCAATCATTAAAATATTTGAATTAAAATTTTCTGCATCTTTTTATAAAGTGTTCCTTAACGAGCATAGTAAATTTTTGTTTTAGCCATCCTTGAGGGTTTTTAAGATTATCCATATTTATGAATATATTTATCGATTATTAATACTCCGACGAAGAGAGTTTAGAGTGTCTTTGATAAAATGGAAAAAGCAAAGAGTGTATAATTTATTCATTAACTTGCAGAATAATTTAAACTTATGACTTGGGCCCTAAGCTACTCTAAAATCTGTAGGTATTGTTTTGAAGGGGCTTCATAAGGCAAGGGGCTGTTTCATAATTATATGACATGAACATGTGCCATAAGTTGGAGTTAGCTGTAACCTTCCAAGTCAAAAAACCCAACCAACAAACGCCTCAAGATCCTTGAAAATGTTCCTAATTTGAGATGCTCTCACCTAGTGCAGGGCTACGATAAGTATTTTAGAAAGTATGTCCTTACGATTGTAGTCAGAAAAATAAACCTCCTTAGGCTGAACAGTGTTTTTACAAATACGTGTAACAAGAAGCTTAGTTATACAAGTAATATCGGTCCTAGTGGTTGATTTCTTTCTCACCCTTGACCAAATTAAAATTTTCTCTCATCATGAACAGCTTAATCAGAGGAATATAGGTTTTGTTTTGGCTGTGTTATATATAGAACTTATTAAGTGAAATATCATATATTTTCTCACTTATTTATCTAATATAAATCACTGTCCTGTGACTATATCTTTGATTTTCTCATCACTAAAATTTAAAGAATTTTTATAGATAGGGTAACTTTAATATCTCTTTTTTTCTCTATTGTTTTTACTTTCAAAATTTATTTTCGCCTTACAGCCAATTTCTTTTATTAATTAATTATTGTTAATTTATAAGTAAATAAATGCCTTTATTAAGTTAAAAACAAATTAATGTATATAAGAGAGTAACTCTTGATTATCTATTATCAAATACTCATCTTGTGGGTTTATACACTGAGTATAGTCTCTTGTATAACTAACTGGTAAAAATAAATAACTTGTTGACGCGAAATATATCAGATTTAACACTTGCGTGTTAAAAATCCACTGGTACCATAAAGTATATTTTTGGAGACGTCCAAAAAAAAAAAAAAAAAAAAGTTGGGTAAGACTTGCTACTGAGTTAATATTTTCAATAATTTGGCTATTGTTTCTTCACACACAAAAGGGTGACCAATCGGTTAGGCAAACCGAATTAGTTCGTATTCGATCTAACCCAACATATATTTATGGTAATCGAATTTGGAATCAAAAGTTATAAAATCGATCCAAACTGAATCAAAGCGATTTGCATTCTGTTATTCCAAATCAAATTAGATATTAGGCTTAAATATAAATTTGATTAGTTATATATGGTAATTGAACCAAAATCGAAAAATAAACCGTTTTATATATCTAAGCTGATAGGTACCCAAATTTTTAAAATAATTATCTAAATTCAACTAAAATGAATCATTTTAGTTCAATGTTTTGTTAGATTATTTAGATTATCATTTAGATATTTTTCATAATATCTAGATTTTTCAAGGTTAATTTTTAACGGCCTCTAAATCGTTATTGTTGGTTATAGGCACTTATTAGCAACAGATGCCAATTGGAAGCTGTCAACGTTGAATGTCGAGCTATCAGCTCGATTGAAGATCTTGAGCAAAAACCTCCGTGAGTTTTTAAAGTTCAAATTAACAATTGGTATATTTTCCCTCCGTACAATTTTGTTTGCTTGTTATTACTTTTTTTAATATTTCAAAATGTTTGCAAGATTTCTAAATTTAAAGATATAAATAATTATTTTTTTCATGGTAACATTTGTGATCCTTTATTAAATGAGAGACTTTTATTAATATTTTTAATGAGTTAAAGGTAAAAAAAAGCAAAATAATTTTTATTGACTAAATTTTTAATATACGTGTTTTGTCAAACCATGCAAATAAAATTAAACGGAGGGAATATATAATATATGATAAATCTCCTATATATAATTTGATATATGCAGATGAAATAAAACATGTGGAAGCTTACGAGAAACTTGTAAGTTTGTTTGAGACGAAGGAAAATGACGTTGTCAAAATTCTCGAAGCATTACTACCTGGTCCTCGTAAAAAAGATCGGAAGCGGCTTGTCAAAGGAACCGATGAGGCAAGGCTTTACTCTATATTGAACTTTTTAAAGTTATTCTTAATTTGATGGAGGATAAAATCCACTTATGTTTTTAAGTTACGTTCTAATTAACACTTTTGTCTCTCTATTTTTTTTAATTACTATAATATTTCTTATTTTTGCTATAAATTTACCATCAGATCCTTCCATATAAAAAATAAACATTTTCCATCAGAAAAATGAGTATATTTCGTCTAAAAAATAAATTTAATTAATATGAGTAAAATATTTTTATATCCCTCTATTATAGTCAAATTAATATTTACGTCATTTTAATATTAATAAATAACTTTAGAGTCACTAAATTATTATTTCAGTCTATAAGTAGGTCCTCTCGTTTATTTTGAGTTAAAATCACCGCTAAAAAAAGAAAATTCCAAAGCTACCCTCCTAGTCTGAAAAATCAAATAGTTTCTCTACCATCTTCCTCTCTCTCCGATACCCACGAAACACGTTCATTTGTCAAAGCAGTGATACGCTTCTCCACCCTCTCCCCCAAATCGAACCAAAGCAACTCACCCACTCCAATAATGAACATAAGAGCATGAATACTTCAATAGCAAAGAACTGGGTTAGGTCGTGGTTTTGATTTTGGAGAGTCCTGAGTAGGATGGAGAGGAAGGAGCATAAGGAGGGTTGATTCTTTTCTCTGTTTGATAATTTGCAGAAAAAGAATTTATTTCAATGGGATGCGCTTGTTAGTAGGTACACTAAAAATGAACTTTATTTTGATGCAATTAACATGTTTATGAAAATGATAATAGATACAGAGTTTAAACCTTAAAATTTTACTTTCCCTTGTGTTATAAAGGCTTGTGCTAGGGTTTTAGATGTTAGGTTAACTAAAGTGATTGTGGCATGGTAACAAAGATGCACTTGATTTCTGATTTTTTTGTGGGTAACGCTTTGATTGAAATTTTATGGGAAATGTAGGTTAGTTGATGATGTAGTGCAAGTGTTTGATTGTATGCCAGTGAAATTTTGGTTTCTATTAGATTCAATTATTTGTGGGTTTTCTGAAAATGGTTTTTCTCGAGAGAGTCTTAATATGTTGGTGAAGAAGTCAGTTGCAGAGGAAGTCTCAAAAGCCATTAACTATCTCTACGGTTGCAGCTCTTGGTTCTACTGCCACGACTGCCAAAGTCATTTGTTGAATATTTTGCTTGTTTGCTTGGAAATTTCATAATTGCAGAGTCAAAGAAATTTCATGGCTATTCAATTAGACATGGGTTTTAGTACCATGAATTGGTGGCCAATGCTTTTCTTGATGTCAATGCCAAGTGTGGGTTGTTGTGTTCTACTAAATGTGTATTTAGCAGTATGGATATGAAGACTGAGTTCTTGGAATGCATAGAATGGTGATCCTAGGCAAGCTTTGAGTTCATACATTTTTTTTTTTGCTTAAATTTATGAAAAATTGGAGATTTTGAAAAAAATTGGGTATTTTGCCTCTCTACCCTAGTTGAGTGTCATTAAGGGTAATTTGGAGATTTACTTATATTCTTTATCCTCATTTTAACTTTTTGTTTATTTTTAACTGTGATTTTAACTTAAAATAGTCGGAAAGACTTACTTATTGGATGAAATAGTAAGTTAGAGATTCCTAAGTTATTTGTTAATACTAGAAGGATGTAAGTGTTAATTTGACTATAATTTAAGTACGTAAAAATATTATACTCATGATAAATAACTGACTTTTTTAGATAAGAGGATCAATACTTAGCTGAAAACAAAAATTAGAAACGCTACGGAGGGATGGAAATGTTAGTTAAGATATAATTTAGGGATTCAAGTATATTTTTCCCTATAATAAATTGCTAAAAAATGAATTTTAGCTATTCATCTGCATCAAATTTATGTTTTAGGACCAAATTATAAATAAAATTAAAAATTTAGTGACCTCCAAACATAAGATTTGAAATTCAAGTGAAGTTTATACTTTAATTCATATCATTTTGAACATTAAAATTCATTTATTGAAATTTATTTATAAATGAATTTTACATTTCTGATCCATCTACTTGCGAACCTTCCAACAATAAAAACAGGTTGACATTGATGTCTTGAAGGAAAAAAATGTGTTACTGCTTATATCAGACCTGGATATCTTGACAGAAGATATTTTTATTCTTGGACATATAATGCAAGAGAAGTCGCGGCTCAACCCAATCCCAAATATTCAGTTTGAGATTGTTTGGTTACCGATTGTAGACCAAGATGGAACATCGAATTATAAGAGGCGATTTGAGGAAAAACAGGTTCAAATGAATTGGTACTCATGCCTCCCTATCCCGGTTGATGGTGCTGTGGTTAAGTATGTTAAAGAAAAATGGCAGTTTGGACAGAAGACTATTATTGTGGTTCTTGATTCACTTGGACAAGTTGTCTGTCAAAATGCACTCCATATGATGTGGATTTGGGGCACTCGGGCCTTTCCTTTCACTGAGGAACGTGAAGAAGCTCTGTGGGATCAGAATACAAGTTGGAAACTTGATCTCTTGTTCGATGGCATTGATAAAACAGTCATGGATTGGGTAATAATCAAAATTACAGAATAATTTAAAATTGTGTTTTTTCAAAATTTTTTAACTTTTTTTTCTGTTTTAATTTCATTAGGGGGAAGAAGAAAAATACATATGCATCTATGGAGGAGATGAGTTGGACTGGATTCAAAAATTTACAAAGAAAGCAAGAGATGTTGCAGATGATGCAAATATACCATTAGAAATGGTTTATGTAGGTAGAAGGAACTCAAAGGAACGAGTTAAAAAGATCATCGAGACTATCGAGAGCGAAAAGCTAAGCCGCTCCTTGCAAGACCAACGTTTGATATGGTATTTCTGGGTTAGAATTGCAAGCATGTGGTATTCCAAGAATCAACTTAAAAAAACAACTGAAAATGATCCTACAATGAAAGAAATCATGAAAATGCTCATCTTTGATAGTGAATCTGGTTGGGCTATTTTCACCCAACGATTAAAGAAGGATCAAGGAATGAAGGACAATGAGATGAAGGACAATGAGATGAAGGAAAATGTGATGAAGGGTAAAGAGATGAAGGATTCTGAGATAAGGGTTGAAGCTAAAGGAAATATAATCTTAACATGTCTGGAGAATTATAGTAGATGGAAAGATCTAATACAAAAAAAGGGTGGTTTCGTGCAAGCACTTAGAGGTGAGATTCAAAAAGAGGTAAAAGCAGCGAAAAGTCACTGTAATCGGCTTGCGCTCCCTAATGATGAAGGAAAATTGCCTCAAAAGATAGTTTGTGCAGATTGTCCCAAAAATATGGAAAAAATGATAATGTACAGGTGTTGTGATTAAGAGATAATAATAATGATTGTGCGATTAATCAATTAAGAAATATTTTATTACCGTAGAAGGGGTTTGTACTGCCTTAGTTAATTATAATTTGTTGTTGTACTAAGCGAGTTGATTATCAATGATCTTTTCTGTTTGAAATTTCTAGCATTCAAAGTGTGATTGATTTGCAGAGAACTCTTTTCTGTTTTCCATTTTTTGTAGAGAGAGAAAATTCGGAAACAAAAAGCAAAATTGGAGAAACATGGAGATTATGTTTGTTTATAGTAATTTAAAAATTAATTTTTAACCTAGAAAATGAAAAATAATCTCACAGGGGCACTCTTTCTCAACTCGTCATACACCGTTTTTCATATTCTTCGTTATATTAAGGGCACTCTTTTTCATCACTTACATTTTTCATCTAAGAGCTTTCACTGATACTGATTGGACAGGTGATCCTACGTACCGGTGTTTTACTACATATATAGTTTCTCGTTGAAGCAGAATATCATGCCTTAGCGAATGCCACCGGTGAACATATTTGGCTGTGTTTGATTACTTGCTATTTCGGGCATTCTTTACTCTAGAGCTATTGATCTCTATTGCGATAGTCAAAACACAAGTTAAATTGCCCAATGATATTTTTCACGAGTGTACTAAAAACATTGGTATCTATAGATTTAACTTTGTTGAACTTCAAATTGTATATTGTTTGAACACCTCACTCTCTCAAAAATAAAAAAAAAAACACTATATTTGAGATATTTTGATCAGGCAAGATGGTCCAAAAAGATTAAATAAAACAAAACTCCTGACAGAATTCTAGAATGATGGAGCTAGCTAGAATAAAGTAACTAGAATAATAGAATACAGGACACGCGAATAAATCGAAATATACACAATACATTCAAATTGGGCAGTGGATATTGAATGCGGCGCTCAAAGGTTTCTAAGAAAATGAGAAAACAAAAGATGGCACAAGTAGATGGACTCAAAGAAATAATAAAGGTCCACTTCTCTAATTGGGCTAATCAAACAAAGGCCCAATACTTATTTATCCAGCTATAAAAATCAATACATACTGATATTGAACTTATTTGTTTCATGGTTCAAGAGAATCCAAGCAAAAGTGATCAACCCTCCGCCACGCCTTAGCTGTTCAGTGTGATGAACCCATGGACAATTACTTGCAGCATAGAAAAGCATTTCAGTCCAAATACTACATAGCAGACTCCATTTGTCTTCCCTGTCTATCAGAAGCTCTGAAAGTAGTTTGGCGTCCAGTACTAAATTCCAGCTCGATATGATCACATATTCACTCTCTGCAGATATTTCCACATTGTTATGTTTATTAGATACCCGAACCACTGTCTCTTCAGAACTCTTCTGGAGCAATTTTTCTAAAAAATGTTGAATCATAGTTTTCTCATCTGTTTTTCCTTTCTTGGTGGCTGCATCTGTTGGTGAACTGATAATAACACTTAAAAATTCACCAAGTTTCTTGGAAGCGCCCTGGAAAAGAATACTCCCTGTACCAATAGATAGCATGTGGGGGCGTACGGCTAGTAGATACATCATATAATCAGACAAACGCTTACTCAACTCTTTGTTAGTACTTTTACTCTCCGAGGACTCCCTTCCATAGCAAACATCAGTTGCTAAATGCCAGATTGTTATAGCCCTTCCAAAACTTGTTTGCTGGTTTGCTTCATTAGTGTGGTCTGTTCCTATGCTCCATTTGAATTGGTCAAGACATTTGTACCTTTCCAATGCCCATTCTCCTCTTTTTGTGAAGGCTTGCCAAACTCTTTGCCCTCGAACTTCCTCTATCTGTTTAATTATCAGTTCCTTCAATGTATCATCAACTCCTACAGATTGGGTTAAGCGAAACCTCTTGTATCGTTGATCCCATCCCTCGAGTAACTGAGCACATGGAGTGTTCTTGGGGATTCGACGAATGAGTTTGTTAAGGATTTTGTTAAGGACGGTAGGCTCTTTGGATATACAATAATGCAACATATTTAGTTGCTGTATCTGATTTGACCATCTCGGCGGCCTTGAAACCTTATGAGCAAAGACTTGAAGAGCAGCATCAACAAATTTATTTCTTTGCTCTTTTATCAGATAAAGAACGGACCAATCTGAGCAAAGAATGGTTAGCAAAGCATAAAGTTCCAATGTAATAGCACCAGCAAGAAGCAGATAAGTGATAGAAATGTCCACCTTCTTGTCATATTTCCGTGAGACCAGAATTTTGAAAATCTGAACATCGGCGTGTCGAAACAAGATTGCAAATCCACACAAGCTGCAAGCTAAACAAAGGAAACAAATGGCTCGGCGTACAAAACTTGTGCCGGAATAATTGATGGGAGCCCTAGTGTAGAGCACATCATACATGAAGCTTAGCTCTGCTTCTGCAATTTTAAAGGTATCTATTGGTGTAGAATAATATGTGCTCATAGAAGGCAATTGTATAGACAAAGGATGGCCTATCCAGTTTTGAAGGTGAGGCTTTAAGTGTTCGAAACGAATATAAGCCTTCACAAGCAATAGAAGGTCTGGAATTGAGGACTTAAGAGACCAAAGTCTGTCTACTTCTAAAGCTTTAGTGCTTGATAAGAAATGGTGGGTGCCTATTTCTAAAGCTTTACTGTCTGCTAAATTACCAAACACAGGTTCTGTTGTGGCCGAGCATCTGAGAGACCAAACTCTCTCAAGACTTTTAATAGCTCCACTCACAAGCAAAGTCAAGGCTATAATTGATAACCAAGAATTATTCCAAGATTTGATAAAAATCAAACCGACAACAGTTATTTGCACTCCCAGTTCAAGAAACTGCCTCAGACCCAACCGGTTATCCTCCACCGCGAAAGCGGTGATGCTATCAGGGCCGCCGATATGAACAAGAAGCAACGGAGCCCACATCGCCCTTAGTTCATTGCTGGTAACATTCACCTTAGGAGCATCACCGTAACTGATGCTATTAAGGGCAATTGTGTCGTTGTTGGTGTCAGTAAGCTTGCCAAGTGAAACTGTTGCGACATAGATGCCCATTAAATAAGAAAACCAAACAAGCAAGCGAGTAAGAACTCCTAGCTTGTACTTCCGGCGACCGCCACAGACGGCGAGGACTATTTGAAACAATAAGCTTGTAAGTACTAGAACTTGAATCTCAAATGCAGCCCACAGTTCTTTCACCCATGGTGACTTAAATATTTGTTTTGCCATCTCCCAACTCATTTTCCAAAGCTAATAAACATTAACAAAAATTAATTCCGATCACTGTAGCAAAAACTAAAAATTAATAACTATGAATAATAAACTACTAAGAAATAGTAGCTTATTACCTTAAAAAAAAAAAGAGTAACATATAATTAATTGTATCTCTAAATTATATCTAAATTACCACTTAAAATATTTTCATATAATAATACAAAAATATTGTTTGGTTTATATTTCTATTTTAATTTTTCTTAAATTTCAATTTTAAGGATATAAGAAAAAATAAGAAAAAATATGTAACTTTAACTAATTTAACTAACTATTCTTAAATTGTATGAAAAAAATATCTAAGAGTATAATTTTGAGACCGATGGAGTAAAATTTATCTTGTAATATATAACTAAAATTTATATAATAATATATTTATAGGTAACGTACTATTTGAATGCAGTATAATTTTGGACCGATGGAGTAAAATTTATCTTGTAATATATAACTTAAAATTTATATAATAATATATTTATAGTAACGTACATTTGAATGCACGATATATATATATATATATAATATATATATATATATATATATATATATATATATATTATATATATAACATACTATATAAATACACACATAAACGCATCATAAATTCAATAAAAAACGCATCATAAAGAGTTAAAATTAATTTTTTAAAATTATATTGGATATCCAACTAGTTTGATGAGTAAGTCGCGGAATTTAATTGAATTTTATTTTATTTTTTATAATTATTTATAAAAACTAAAAATTAGTGAAAGAGAGAAAAATAATTTTATTAATTTTCAATTTTCAAAAATTCAAGGATTAAAAAAAATTAAAAAAATCTACAAGCATTTTCTTAATCGTTTATCAAATAATAAGGTCATTTTAAAAATTTTTTTCTTTATTTTTTTTCTTTATATATATATATATATATATATATATATATATATATATATAATTTTGATTTGATTTAATTAACTAATTTATTAAACTTTTAATGTTGTATTTCATTTTTCAAGGTATAATCTGGAGGATTGAACTGCCGTGAGACCAAATTCTCTCTCTTTCATTGCTTTTTCACTTGATGGAGTTTTTGGTTTGAATTCTCTCTGGTTACAACTGCATTTCTCTACGTGCTTTATAATACTTGGTTTAACTGTTACATAGTTTAAAAATAAATAATAATAATAAGTGGTTATTATAATTTTTTTTATTTTAATTTTTTTTCTAATATTGTCTTCTACTTCTGCAATTTATTTAGTAATAATATGTCATTAAATAAAAAAACTAACTTATTCACTTGTTTGTAAAAAAAATGAGATAATATACGAAATAAATTAAAAAATGTAAATTAACTCCTAATATATTTCGGCACGGACGGAGTAAAATTAAATCATAAATAAGCAAAGTAAACATATATAGTTAGTAATAAAAATAGAATAAAAAAAAAAGGTAACTGAAATGAAGTTTCAGCTCATCAAACTTCCCCTATGCTTATTTTGACAGCTTCTAGTAGCAGGCACATTGGTGGTCTCGCATTCCAAGGGATTCCTATTTATATATCAGTTTTGTTGTAACAATTTCCGTGCTATAAAATAGTTTAAGGTGAAATGAAGAATCTAACTTTGCTTTGTGGAAATTTTATTCACTATTCTTATCTTTCTTAATCAACATAAACTACCTTTATCCATTTATTCTTTTTCTTTAGGCTTTTATTAGATTCACAAGTGTCTTTTTTTTTTTTGTCATTGAAAAATATTTTAGCTTTTTTTTTTTACAACTCATTTTATCGTATAAAAAAATTAAATTATATTAGGGTGATTGAATCAATATAAGTTGCTCAATTCTAAGGAATCAGTCTAATTATTCTACTAAATTTTCACTTTAAAGTATTTCTAACTATATGTTAGGAAAAAAAAAAAAAAAGATAAAAAAGGTAATATTTTTTAGATTTTTTTTTATTGGCTTGACATGGGGATCACTGGGTGTAGGCAAGAAATTTCTATATTTAATTTGAGAAGACTTACCTACATTCTTTGTGTGGAGTTACATATATATCAAATCGATTACAAACATAATTAGGGATGAAACAAAATATAATTTATTTTAAAAAATTATTTTTTTGACTGGTTTAATATATGAGACCACTGCATACACTGAGCGTAGAACAAGACATTTCCAAGCTTATGAGAAAAATTGGCCCTATTACTTTTAAATCAAAAATAATTGTGTACTATATTTTAGGTATTATATAAGTAGCTCATCAACCTACTAATTTAAAGAGTTGAGATATTTGTAAAGGAAGGCATTTATGTACAAATGAAAGGTAAGAAATACTAGCAGAGTGTAATCCATTCTAATTAGCTTTTTCGATAATCATAATTTTTTTAAAAAAAAAATTATTTTTCAAAGAAATAAATGAATCTTTACTATTAGACATTCAATTTTCTTAAAGTCTTTTAACTAAAGATGATGACAAAGTTGCTAATTAAGTCCTTATGTTGAGTTCGAGTTCTCTTTAACACTATGTTATGTTCCATTAAATTTGGGACAATTTTTTTTATTTTTATAAAAATAAAAAAAAAATGAATGAACACCTCAAATGTAGATTGCAGAAAGTTGCAATCTACAAAAATTAATTAAGAGAAAATGCAATGGTTTTTTTTTTTTTTTTTTTTTTTTGGATATTAACCATGAGAATATCCAGGCCCTATGTCATTACAAGCTTTCAAGAGTTAATTGCAGCAGAAAGCAAGTAAATTTTAATTCCATTTCTTCAAGGGATAAGACTTATAAATGTGTGAATAAATTTTTAGTTTCCCTTGTACAAGCTTTTGCAATCAGAATTTTGGACTCACAAACAGTAACTAAGCTAAGCCAAAACGTGAAACCGGCCGCAACAGGCATTGGTAGAGTTAAAGAGACCAGACCACAAAAACTGCCTCCTTTGAAATAAGTTTCGTTTAATTGCAAATAAAGAAGCAAGGAACTTATTCCACACATTTTTTTCAAACATATATAAACTCAAAGTAAGAGTGACTCAAGTTGTGTCTTCAAAATACTCCAAGAACTATGAGATACTGAAATTAAAACAGCAAACTCGGTGGAAGAACCGAAGAAGCAGATGATCCACCCAGGCAAAAGAAATACTAGGGTTATAAGAGCTAGAGGAAAAATCAATTACTGGAGGAGATTCCTAGAGCTTGAGCCTCAAAAGAAGCACACTTCAACTCAACCCTCTTTTCCATCCTTGTGGAGGACATTCCTTCACCGTGCATCCGAAATGTTACCAGCAATGGGTCATGGCTATCATAAAAATAGTTTATTCATTATTATTTTTATTATATTTATTTGGGGCTAACAAGTTAGGCTAGTTTCCTTTAAGTAGGGATGATAATGGTTTTGATTTTAAAAATCGAAACCGAATACAACCAAACTAATACCTAAACCAAAGTCAATGGTTTTGGTTCTATACAAACCGTATGAATTGATCACTTAAATTTCAGGTTGTTTCTTTATATTTTAAACTGATTGTGTTTTTGATTTAAACAGAATATAGATATATGAAATCGTAAAAAATATATTTTAAAGAAACTCCCAACTTATTTTTTTTTTGTTTATTATAATTTTTTAAAATAAATTTTAAGATTTTTTTATTAAATATTGGTTTAGTTTTTCAATAGTGCTATTATTGTCATTATTAATTAATTTATTAATTAAAAGCTGGCGAAATCTTAAAAAAATATTTTAAAAGTTTAAAGTATATTATTTCAATTTTGATTCAAATTGGAACAAAATCGAAGCCAGTGGTTTCCACCATCTTAGAAACCACAAAGGTGATTCGGTTCTGGTAAATCGATGGTCATACCTACTCTTAAGACTTCAAATTAGTTAAAAATTTCAATCAGATCATATCCAATCGATCAAATTTTTCTTATTTAATCATAAACTTTAAACTTGAAAACTCTTTTTTTTTTTTTTTTCCTTTTTGCAGGATATCCAAGCGTACATGAGAAGCGGCTCACCAAGACGAAGTAAATTTACTTGCGAGAGCGAATTTCAATCAATAAACTGGATTAAAATTTCCTAATGAGGGTTTGCAATCATATATATAGTATATATATATATATATATATATCATATGGTAGATTAGATTTGGCTAGACCGGGTTCACATAATGCACTACATTTAAAATTTTTTCAGATAGCCATATAACACTTCAAGCAAAAGGAGAATCACACGGCACCGGTAACTGTCAATATTTAAGATTCTAAACGAATATTCATGGAGGCTAGACTGAACTGATCTAACAGCTTTTGCTTTAAATTATGGGAATGCTGGCAACTAGCTCTAATATATTCATCGCGCCAACTTGCTGAATCAATGTCAATCCTGAAACAAAGTATGCTGATATCGCCAGCAACCCGAACCTCCTTTCTCCTCCATGAAGGTGGTTTAATGATCTTGTAATGGCAATCATGTCTGTGACAAGGTGGGCATCATTTGAATATCGCAAATGGTGAAAGACGCAACTCAGCCAACTCGATAATCATACGAGTCCATCAAACTCATATTCTGAGCACTCAAAAGTTATCCCAATCACCTCTATTGGACTATCAGAAGTGTCCCTTGGTTTGTGCATCAAATATTACTCGTCTCATCAAGCATGAAATCTTAAGTATGTTTTTCCGTTGTATTAATTGACTGAACAGTCTCTTTGCCTCCTAAATTTCTGAAATGGTTCTATATTTGATTTCAGGTATGTAATTTTCAAGCATAGAAAAGGATGACTAGAGACCTTGAAAAAATAAAACTTTACGAGAAGTTACATAATCCTTCAGTCTTGGCGGCAAGATTCGCTAAACTCCTCCCTTAGGTAATTAAGAAAACTGATACTGGTTCAAAGCTCATCATTAGTTTGCAATTTTTTTCTAGTATTTTGATCTGTAATTGTATATATATATGCAGAGGAAGCGAGGATTTCAATCAATTTCTGAATGAATCAAGAGCTAAATGGAAGTTTCACAAGTTGAACAA